CAATCAATCAATCAATCAATATTACCTCTCTCCACACCAATCAGACGGGAGCATTACAGTTTCTATCTGTATCCTGACGTCTGTTATCACAACTGCTAACATCAACTAGCATCACAACTGCTAACAGCAACTAGCATCACAACTGCTAACAGTAACTAGCATCACAACTGCTAACAGTAACTAGCATCACAACTGCTAAAAAACACACAACTGCAAACAGAACTAGCATCACAACTGCTAACAGCAACTAGCATCACAACTGCTAACAGTAACTAGCATCACAACTGCTAACAGCGACTAGCATCACAACTGCTAACAGTAACTAGAATCACAACTGCTAACAGCAACTAGCATCACAACTGCTAACAGTAACTAGCATCACAACTGCTAACGGCGACTAGCATCACAACTGCTAACGGTAACTAGCATCACAACTGCTAACAGCAACTAGCATCACAACTGCTAACAGCAACTAGCATCACAACTGCTAACAGCAACTAGCATCACAACTGCTAACGGTAACTAGCATCACAACTGCTAACAGTAGCTAGCATCACAACTGCTAACGGCGACTAGCATCACAACTGCTAACGGTAACTAGCATCACAACTGCTAACGGCGACTAGCATCACAACTGCTAACAGCAACTAGCATCACAACTGCTAACAGCAACTAGCATCACAACTGCTAACAGTAACTAGCATCACAACTGCTAACAGCAACTAGCATCACAACTGCTAACAGTAACTAGCATCACAACTGCTAACAGCAACTAGCATCACAACTGCTAACAGCAACTAGCATCACATGATACATTGTTGACGTCAGCTCTGTCAGCCAATCAGGAGGCTAGCATTCACACCTGTCTGTGTCTCCAGGTGGAGTCACAGCTGGTTTTCATCAGAGACAACTTGGAGCTGATTGGTTGTCTCTATCGCCATGACAACCTCTCCTCCGCCTCCTGGGACCCCATCAGGATCAAACACTTCCTGGACATCATCTACAGACAGGCAGAGGAAGTCACCGCCTGCGTGAGAGGACAGACAGGCAGAGAGACAGCCAGAGAGACAGACGGGGAGACAGACGGGCTCAGCCACTGTGTGAGTAGACAGACAGTATATTTATATATTTATATATTTATATATAAATATACTGATGTTAAGAAGCCCAGAAGATCAATCAGCTGATTTTGTCTCCAGATGTCGACTAACAGGACGACAAACCCACGACTGAGAGATTTCTACAGGAGGCTGTCCAACAGCACAGTGACCCCGACAGTGAGTGCAAGGACCGCTAACTAGCATCAGAACCGCTAACGGCGACTAGCATCAGAACCACTAACGGCGACTAGCATCACAACCGCTAACAGCAACTAGCTGCTAACAGCAACTAGCATCAGAACCGCTAACAGTAACTAGCATCAGAACCGCTAACGGCGACTAGCATCAGAACCGCTAACAGCAACTAGCTGCTAACAGCAACTAGCATCAGAACCGCTAACAGTAACTAGCATCAGAACCGCTAATGGCGACTAGCATCAGAACCGCTAACAGCAACTAGCTGCTAACAGTAACTAGCATCAGAACCGCTAACAGCAACTAGCATCACAACCGCTAACAGCGACTAGCATCATAACTGCTAACAGCGACTAGCATCATAACCGCTAACAGCAACTAGCTGCTAACAGTAACTAGCATCATAACTGCTAACAGCGACTAGCATCAGAACTGCTAACGGCGACTAGCTGCTAACAGTAACTAGCATCATAACTGCTAACAGCGACTAGCATCATAACTGCTAACAGCAACTAGCTGCTAACAGTAACTAGCATCAGAACTGCTAACAGTAACTAGCTGCTAACAGTAACTAGCATTATAACTGCTAACAGCGACTAGCATCAAAACCACTAACGGCAACTAGCTGCTAACAGTAACTAGCATCAGAACCGCTAACAGCGACTAGCATCATAACTGCTAACAGCAACTAGCTGCTAACAGTAACTAGCATCATAACTGCTAACAGTAACTAGCTGCTAACAGTAACTAGCATTATAACTGCTAACAGCGACTAGCATCATAACCGCTAACAGCAACTAGCTGCTAACAGTAACTAGCATCATAACTGCTAACAGCGACTAGCATCATAACTGCTAACAGCGACTAGCATCATAACTGCTAACAGCGACTAGCATCATAACTGCTAACAGCGACTAGCATCATAACCGCTAACAGTAACTAGCTGCTAACAGTAACTAGCATTAGAACTGCTAACAGTAACTAGCTGCTAACAGTAACTAGCATTACGGCGACTAACTGCTAACAGTGACTAGCATCATAACTGCTAACAGCGACTAGCATCATAACCGCTAACAGTAACTAGCTGCTAACAGTAACTAGCATTAGAACTGCTAACAGTAACTAGCTGCTAACAGTAACTAGCATTATAACTGCTAACAGCGACTAGCATCATAACTGCTAACGGTGACTAGCTGCTAACAGTAACTAGCATTAGAACTGCTAACAGTAACTAGCTGCTAACAGTAACTAGCATTAGCACTGCTAACAGTAACTAGCTGCTAACAGTAACTAGCATTAGCTAATGTGGCTGACAGTACTGACTGTAGCTGTGTGATTGCAGGGCGGCAGTGTTGCATCCTGGGAGCTGATCAGGAAACAAACGGTCAGGCTGCTGCAGCGGTTGGACCTGCTGGCGGCCTCCATCAGGAGGCGCTCTCCACCGAATCCACAGAGACACTGATCTCATCCATCAATGAGTCTCTCTGTGAGAGGCTCTGCTATCTGTTTATTATGTCTATGAACAAAGTGCTCTTTATTTATTGATCTATTGATTATGTCTATGAACAAAGTGCTCTTTATTTATTGATCTATTGATTATGTCTATGAACAAAGTGCTCTTTATTTATTTATCTATTTATTTATTTATTTATAACAACACAATAAAGATGTCTGATGCAGCGCCGTGTTCAGTGTTTGTACTCTTACATCATTAGGTTTATGGCAGGTGTCTCTCACATCGAGGGTGGGAGGAGGCGAAAGGTTGTTTTTGGAGCATGTGAGCAGGAATCAGACATTGACCCTTGAAGTACAACGTTAATGAACTTTACTTATTTACAGTTTATAGTTCATCTCTGAAGGAAGTATTGTAGTTTTTAACTTCACAGCAGTGAACCATCTAAAGTCTGGACGACGTTTAGGTTCTATAAGGAGGAAGGAAAGTCCGTCCGTACGATCTGTGGGACAGCAGCTGAGTCCAGCGATAAAGACAGATCTGATGCAGGCGGCAGGAGTCAAAGTGTTTTGAGTTTTTAATTATAAAATAACAAACCCTCTGTAATCTGCTGTTGGTCAGGAGGGAGTTTCTCTCTCCAGTGTTTACCTGAGTCTGAATGAACTGTCCATCTTTTTTGCTTTTGTGGCACTTGCAGTGGTTTGTTGAGTGCGGTTGTGTCGGATCTCTACCGCTGTCTCCTCCTGCTGCTCCTGCTCTCTCCCACTGACTCAGAGCTCAGAGTGGAGGAAAGAAACAAAGAGAGTGGATAATGGGGTAGATGGATTAGAAAAATGCCTTGATCGGTGCCGATACTGATCGTAATTGAACCAAATTGTTCCATCTTAAAAAGCATCATCACACGTTTGGGGACTGACAACTGCGTGTATGTGACTCCCATTCACAAAAAATTCTTATAAATAAATAGTCATATTTTAGTGTAACAAATATCAAAAAGATGAATAATAGCCAGAATAAGAAGAATGTTATGTGTCTATCTGCAAAAAATTTATAAAAGAAGAAAAATAATTATAAACTTATAAAGTAGAATATATAAAATAAACAGTGAAGCAATCACACAATGAGTGTCAAATTATTGGACTAAAACTTATAAAACAAAGGTAATATTATTATCATTATTGGTACTACTAATCAAATAGACAGAGCAGACCTCTGCCCTGTATCTACAGCACTGGTCTGTGTACAATTATTATTATTACTATTATTATTATTATTGTCAAATGGACTTAATAAATCTTTATTAACTGTTTCTGAAGGACAGTTAGTCTCAAATTATAAAGATACTGACTTAGATCAGATGGCTGGACAGACCTTGTAAACCCAAACGTGCAGTGATTCAGAACAGACACATTATATATGAAGAAGACTGATGAGATTTAAACAAATATTTATCTTAACCTTATGTCACTTGTCATCAAACTTCCTCTTTTGTTATTGTGGTTGTGAGAGATCCCCTAATGCAGAAACAACAGCAGTACACTTAATGAAGGATATAAAGTTTTAGCCAAAATGCGACTTTATTGTCATTACACACAGTTTCAGTACAAGAAAATCCAGTTTAACATCTCACCAGAGCAAACAGCAGCAGAAATTCACATAGAGAACAATATATCGAGCTAATGTAGAGCATTAAAGAGATTAATGGTGCATTGCAGAGTAACATAATCAGGACTGATGATTAATAACTGAATAATAATAATCAGATCAGTTTCCAGACACCTCAACCTTGATGACAGCCTTGCTACTGTCTGACATGGTGGCTCTGATGGTAACAGCTTTACCTTTGTAAATCAGTTTAAAGTTAGCTTGATGTCGGACAAACGTTGTCTCTGGTTTGTTATACATCTCATCAAAAAGGCTGTAATCACACTTTGTATTCATGTCAAAGATTCCCACTCCAAACCAGTTACGGTAGGACATGTAGTCAAAAGGAACAGAGAACATGACAGCCAGTTTTCCATCATATTGCTGTGTGGATTCATTCTGCAGGTCGTAGGTCAGGACTCCAACAGATCCACATACTGAGAAAGGAGTCTTGTGGAACATCGCGCTGCCAGATTCAGAGGGTCTGAGTGTTGGTGGAGGAGGTTTCTGACAAAATCCACTGTAAGTGTACGTTCTGGAGACACAAACAGACATCCGAGTCTGAATCACAGAGTCTGAATCACAGCTCTATTAAAGAGGGGAATAACAACTCTTATCAATCCTCTAAAGGAAGTAAAGCATGAACTCACTGCGGGTTACACAGGATGTACTCAGACTTATTCTCTAACTCAATGTCGCACTGGCGGTGGGTTGGAAGAGTCATGATGTCTTCAACCTGTACAGAGAGACTGTGATTAAAATGTCTCATTCAGACTTCATGTTAATGACGTGAAATGTGAGCTGTTCCTCAGCTGATTCTGATTCAGACACACTGTGGAGGTTTCTGAGGACTGACAGGATCTGTCTGAACAAGCTACCCTAACCCTAAACCCTAAACACAACATAACCCTAATTAGGTTAAGCAAGTTCTTTTTCTAAGGGTCATAGACAACAAAACCAAGATAGAAAGCCATGGTAGTCATTTTATCTAAATTTGATCCCATGCAATGTTTTCTCTTCCACCAGGGGGCGCAGTGACCAGAAGATAAAAGTTAGATTTGATTATGGATGTGGTTCCATCTTTTCATCATTCTTTGTTGATCCTCTTTTCCCCATGGCTCACAGTCCACTGTTATCGAGATGAGATATTGTGCTGATTCCTGCGCACAATAGTACTTTTTCCACTCCAGCAAGTGCAGGGATTCTTTAGTCACTTTTAATTACTGAAGCATAACACATGTTTGTATGGACTCCAAACCAATACCATTGGAATTAATCAGCATCCCAAACTTAGTTAACACACCAAATACAGTAACTATAGCTGCATGGGAATATCTTCAAAACTCACTTCCATTTGCTAACTTCCACTTACAACTTTGTGACACCATAACATAAAAAGTGTTTGCAGTTTCACGCAAATGAGGTACCTTCACTGTTCCAGTCCTTTCATTTGTATTTACGACTCGAACTCGGCTCTTTCTGTGGTTTTCATTTGATTTATTTCCTGCTTGATGTCTGGCTTTAGATTGTTCAGATAAACTTCCTCCTTACAGTAAAGGTACCCTGTTGACAGCTTTGGAACAGCATCAAGTGGGCGGTGGTTTAGTGTACTCGATTGGTATGCGGTCTGTCTCTGAACACTTCTAAATGTCTGAACTGTTTAACTGCATATGAAGAATATAGAAAGCAGTCTGAAACATAGGTCATATACGCCCTATAGGGCATCAGTCTGAACATCCTTGCCTGGAGGGGGTACTGGCTAGGAACCACCACAATATCTAATTTATGATCATATATCAGTTTTCTCTTTGGGAGACTCTGAGCTCTTCTAAGTCAGTTGAAATGGGTGTGATACTAAAAGTATTTTTCATATTTGCATTGCAGCTTAAGAGAACACAAAAGATTTAAGAAAAACAAGTCGGTTCAGTCTGAACAACATTCACACCAGGAAATACTCCCACAGCAACCTAACTAGGAACAAAGGAAATCTTATGAGAAGAAGATTGAAATAAATATAAACATTTTCATTTCAGTTAAAGCTTTTGGATATTTTAGAGTTTTAAATGATCCAATGAGGAAGGTTCATGTGAGCAGCCTGTCATCAGTTCAGACCGGGGTCTCCAACATGGAGCCCGAGGGAACCTGGTAGCCCACAGAACATGTTCTCTAATCTCTATCTGAAATATATTTTTCATAACACAAATGGGTTTAAACATTTAAATACATTACTGATATGTTTTATTAATTAAAAGCACTCACTCTCAAACAAGTGAAAGTGAAAGTAAACATCCCTTTAATGTAACAATGAAGATAACCTACCTTTTTCAAAAGTAGGATCAACGTGTCAGATTTTACAGTGTGCTGGAAACATATAAACAATATAAAGGATGATATTGTGTGAATTAAATTACTTTAAACTTCAATCGGATTCATTCTGTTATATAATAATAACTTTATTTCTATAGCATCCAATACAATATGTGCATAGACAGAATATAAAAGCAAACATTACACAGCAAATCAAATGAAACAGAGATTTCAACTATCAACATAGAGATAAAAGTCAATATGTGACTGTTGACTGGCAGAAACACAAACAACTTCACTTTCTATGATTAATTTCTATTTTCTGTTCACGGATTAAAACACTCACCGACTCTCAGCCGTTCTGCTCGCTGGTTCTAGATCTGACCTGCACTTTCATTTAGTCTTTATGTACCTGGATCACCTGCAGGCTCCGCCCCCTCTCTATGCCTTCTGATGTCACCTGAAGTCACATGACCTCGTCTGTGTCTTACCTGTGTGGGAAAGAAACAGGATTTGGGGGTAATAAAACAGATGTGCCCCTGGTCAAAGGGTTGAGTTTTATGATAGGAAGAGCCAGGGGGAAGGCACAGATGGAAGGACCATTTGGTGAGAGAGACCTGGATTTACAGGAGTAACATTTGCAAGACACACAGGGGGTTTCATTGTTTGTGATGTAAGGAGATGTGAGAGTGGCCATAAACTAACTGTCTCTGAACCCCCTAAACAGCCTGAGTCCCTTCCAACTATCACGCATGGTCACTGGCTCCGAAGTAAAGGAGGCAGAGGGGGTGTGCACCAAATGCCCATGATGAGGTTCCCCAACCCCCAGCTGATGCCAAGCGACGGATCCGCCGAGTGGGATCCAGAGGTGTTTGTCTACAGGCCATGGCAGCCAGATGAGCTGAAGGAGGTTGCAGGGGAATTACCTGACCCCCAAAAGGCTGGAGGTGAGAAATGGATCACAGCAATGCAACAACTACTCATGTATAACCCAACTCTGCAGGAGGTAGAAGCTGTGTGTCGTAGATGCCTCAAATTAAGGTGGGCCAACATCCGACCATCTATCTGGAGGACGACCGCACCCATTGGATCGGGGGAGTATGGAGATATGATCTCAAGCCTGTATGATGCGGTGCGTGAGGCTTTTCCCCTAAGAGTGTGTTGGGCAGAGATCCACAACACCAAGCAGAAAGAGGGTGAGTCAGCTGCTGATTATCGCATTCGTATGGAGATTGTTTTTGCAGCTCATTCAGGCATTGATCCAGACAATGAGGCGTACAGTGACTTGTTAAAAACTGCCTTGGTGAATGGACTCCACCCTACCCTGAAGAATGATGTGATGGCTACGTGTGTTGGCTGGGAGACAGGGTCCATAGCGATGGTGTGGACACATGTATTACATACTGAAAGGAACAAGGTTGAAGTGGAAACTCGACAGACAAAGAAGCTACAAACTGCTCAGCTGTTGTACTATCAGCAGGGTGCACCAACCCCAGGACAGCCATGGCAACCCCACAACAACAGAACTCCTGGGAGGGGGAGGAAGAGAGGGGGCCCACAGGGAAGGCCAATCCAGATGAGGTGTTACAAATGCAACAACCTAGGCCATGTGTGGAGGGAGTGTTCTAACGCAGGGCCCCACAGACAAAGGGGACACGAGCCAGAGGAGACGTGGCCACATGCACCACCGAGAGGACTTGCTGTGCATTCTCCAGGATTCCAGGCAGAGCAACCATAGGAGACAGTGGAGGCAGGTCAGAGAATTGAGCAGCACATAAACATAGAGATAGGGACAAACACACACACAGACACATGCACACACATAGAAACAGATGCAGACCATGACAAACCTGTTGTTACATATCAGCAATACGTACAGTTAACATTGGATTCTAGAACGCCCCCTAGGTTGACTCTTACTGTGCATAGAGTTAAAGTGACATTCCTTCCGTAGACTCAGGAGCAGAGGTATCTGTAATCCAAAGTAAAAGTAATTCCTGAAGCCCCTAGAACAACAAAACGTCTAAAAACGATAGGTGCATCAGGTATGCCATAATTTGAACCGGTATCTGATCTATTATCGGTCAGTTTTGCGGATTACAGGGGAGAACATCAATTTCTCCTTTTTGATGTATGCCCAGTGAACGTTCTGGGTAGGGATCTAATGTGTGCTTTGAGTATTGATGTACATTGTAATCCAACAGGGATAAAAGCAACATCAGTTAGGACTGTACATACACACATACATGGAGTCAGACTAATGCCTTTGACAGTTGAAGAGGAAGCAACCCCTGTTAGAGTACAGGCTAAATCTACTTTTAGACCATGTAAAAGACAATATCCACTTAGTCCAGAAGCTGTTGCGGGCATTGCTCCGGTCATTCAGGCGCTAATAGATCAGGGTGCCATTGTGGAATGCCCTAACTCACAATGCAACTCCCCCATCTTACCTGTTAAGAAACCAAATGGGTCCTGGAGACCAGTTCAAGATCTTAGGGGTATAAATGAAGCTGTGCAACTTTTGGCACCGACTGTACCCAATGTTACAACATTAATGTCACAAGTGCCATCAGGGGCTTGTTGGTTTACAGTAATTGATTTGGCTAATGCATATTTCAGTATTCCTGTTCATCCTGACTCACAGTTCTGGTTTGCTTTCACCTTCAATGGCAAGAGGTATACGTGGACGAGAATGCCACAGGGCTATGCTTCAAGTCCAACATTCAATTCAATTCAATTCAATTTTATTTGTATAGCGCCAATTCATAACAGAAGTTATCTCAGGACACTTTTCAAATAGAGCAGGTCTAGACCGAACTCTTTAAAACATTATTTACAGAGACCCAACAGTACCACCATGAGCAAGCACTTGGCGACAAGGGCAAGGAAAAACTGCCTGTTAAAAGGCAGAAACCTAGGACAGATCCTCCGGCTCTAGGTGGGTGGTCGTCTGTCTCGACCAGTTGGGGTGAGAGAGAGAGAGAGAGAGAGAGAGAGAGGCAGAGAGAGAGAGAGCGAGAGACAGACAGACAGGTGCACAGCAACAACAGTATTGGCAATGGCAATCTAGCAGGACCATGGCAGGAGGCTCCACCAGGATCGACAAGAACCTGCGAGACGAGAAAGCACAAGAACTCCGGGGAAGAAGTGAAGTTAGTAACATGCATTAATGGGACATGAATGAGTGCAGAAAGAGAGAGGAAGGGAGGAGCTCAGTGCACCATGGGAAATCCCGGATAGTCTAGGCCTATAGCAGCATAACTAAGGGATGGTTCAGGACTCACCTGATCCAGCCCTAACTATAAGCTTTATCAAAGAGGAATGTCTTAAGCCTACTCTTAAATGTGGCGAGGGTGTCTGCCTCCCGAACCACAAATGGAAGCTTGTTCCATAGGAGAGGAGCTTGGTAACTGAAGGCTCTGGCTCCTGTTCTACTTTTAGAGACTATAGGAACCACAAGTAGCCCAGCATTCAGAGAACGTAGTGTTCTAGTGGGGTAATAGGGTACTATGAGCTCTGATGAAGGGGCCTGACCATGAAGAGCTTTATAGGTAAGGAGGAGGATTTTAAATTCTATTCTACATTTTACAGGGAGCCAATGCAGAGAAGCTAGTACAGGAGAGATGTGATCTCTTTTTCTAGTTCCTGTCAGTACTCATGCTGCAGCGTTCTGAATTAATTGGAGCGTTTTAATGGACTTATTGGGGCAACCTGATAATAAAGAGTTGCAGTAATCCAGCCTTGAAGTAACAAATGCATGGATTAGTTTTTCTACATCTGTCTGTGATAGTATGTGTCTAATTTTTCTAATATTACGTAAATGAAAGAAGGCAGTCCTAGAGGTCTGCTTTATGTGGGAGTTAAATGACAAATCCTGATCAAAGATAACTCCAAGATTCCTGACAGTGGTGCTAGAGGCCAAGTTAATGCCATCTAGAGTAACTATATCTTAAGACAGTGAGTCTTTAAGGTTTTTGGGGCCAAGAACAAGAATTTCGTTTTTTTTCTGAGTTTAACATCAGAAAATTGCAGGTCATCCAGGATTTTATGTCCTTAAGACATGTTTGTAATTTAGATAATTGATTAATTTCATCGGGCTTGAGCGATAGATATAACTGCGTATCATCTGCATAACAGTGAAAGTTAATGGAGTGATTCCTAATAATGTTGCCTAAAGGGAGCATATATAAAGTAAATAGTATTGGTCCAAGTACAGAACCTTGTGGAACTCCATGACTAACTGTAGTATTTATTGAAGATTCATCGTTAACATGTACAAACTGCGAGCGATCTGATAAATATGACTTAAACCAGCTTAGTGCGGTTCCTTTAATGCCAATTTGATGCTCAAGTATCTGTAAAAGAATATTATGGTCAATGGTGTCAAATGCAGCACTAAGATCTAATAATACAAGTACACAGACAAGTCCATTGTCAGAAGCAATCAGAAGGTCATTATTAACTTTAACCAGAGCTGTCTCTGTGCTGTGATGAACTCTAAATCCTGATTGAAAATCCTCAAATAAACTATTGTTATGTAGAAAGTCACACAACTCTTTGGCGACTACTTTCTCCAGGGTCTTAGAGAGGAAGGGGAGGTTAGAAATCGGTCTATAGTTGGCTAAAACCCCTGGGTCAAGAGTGGGCTTTTTAAGAAGGGGTTTAATTACAGCTACTTTAAAGGACTGTGGTACATATCCTGATAATAAAGAAAGATTAATCATATTCAGTAAAGAAGTGCCAGTTAAGGGAACACCTTCTTTAAGCAGCCTAGTTGGGATCGGGTCTAATAGACAGGTTGATGGCTCCGATGAAGAAATGATTAAAGTTAATTGATGAAGATCGATAGCAGAAAAACAGTCTGAATATATATCTAAGTTTACATTAGCAGAAGTCCCTAAACTTGGAGAGCCACTGATAACTGTTGATGGCAGTTGGTGATTAATTTTCTCTCTAATAGTAATAATTTTATTATAGAAGAAGCTCATGAAGTCATTGCTACTTAAGTTTATGGGGATATGTGGCTCGATAGAGCTGTGACTCTCTGTCAGCCTGGCTACAGTGCTGAAGAGGAACCTAGGGTTGTTCTTATTTTCTTCTATTAGTGCTGAGTAATAGGCTCCTCTGGCATTACGGAGGGCCTTTCTATAAGTTTTAAGATTATCTTGCCAAATTGAGCGATATTCTGATAATTTGGAAGAGCGCCATTTCCTTTCAGATTTTCTAGCTCTTTGTTTTAACTGGCGGGTTTGGTGGTTATACCAAGGTGCTAGTCTCCTATGTTTTAATAATTTCCTTTTTATAGGAGCGATAGAGTCTAATGTTGATCGTAGTGAGCCTGTAGCACTATCGACAAGATTATCAATTTCAGAGGAACTAAAGTCGTTATAGGACTCTGTTAAATTCAGACATGGCATTGAATTAAACACTGAAGGAATCTCCTCCTTAAATTTAGCTACAGCACTGTCAGATAGACATCTGCTGTAGGAAGTTTTGCCTAATGGCTTATAATCTAATAGTATGAATTCAAAAGTTACTAAATAATGGTCAGATAGGAGAGGATTATGTGGGAAGACTATTAAATGTTCAATATCAATGCCATATGATAGAACAGGGTCAAGAGTGTGATTAAAACAATGAGTTGGTTTATTTACACTCTGACAGAAGCCAATTGAGTCTATTAATGAGATAAATGCATTACTAAGGCTGTCATTGTTAACATCCACATGAATATTAAAATCACCTACAATAATTACTTTATCTGATTTAAGGACTAAACTTGATAGAAACTCTGAGAATTCAGATGTAAAATCAGAGTACGGTCCAGGAGCACGGTACACTATAACAAATAGAACTGGCTGCAGTGTTTTCCAGTTTGGGTGAGAAAGACTAAGAACAAGGCTTTCAAATGAATTATAATTTAGTTTAGGTTTAGGGTCCATTAAAACGCTCAAATCATATATGGCTGCTACTCCACCTCCTCAGCCAGCGCCTCGAGGAATGTGAGTATTAATATGACTGGGGGGGGTGGATTCATTTAGGCTAACATACTCCTCGTGGGACAACCAGGTCTCAGTAAGACAAACTAAATCAATATCATAATCTGATATTAATTCATTCACTAAAACAGCTTTAGAGGACAGAGACCTGATATTTAACAGCCCACATTTCATTCTCTTATTTTGTGCTACTGAGGAGTTGGTTTTAATTTTTATAAGATTTTTATGTTGAACTCCTCTTGTTTTTATTTCTTTAAATAATTTAGGTGGTCGGGGGACAGACACAGTCTCTATGGGTATGTGTATGTGTGTGTGTCCATGGGTGCGTGTGTGCACATAAGCCTGGAGAGTCGCTTCGTCTAGCCTCTCAATCAGTGCCTCAGTTCACATGGTGTCATCACGATAACACAGCAGGTTTCCATGGAGACGTCCCTGATCGTGTCCTAAACAGAGTCAACTATCAACAGGTGAGGAATAGGGCAGAGCGTCTCACTGCAGCGATTTCCTGGAGGAGTTGTTCCAGCAGCGGCCTTGGCCGGTGCTACTGAGGGCTGGAATGCAGATTAGATTATGATTGTTTGGGTTAGGGCGAGTAGTCGCATTTCAATGGACACGACTTACTCTGATTGTCCATTCTGGTCTTCAAATCGATTCATTCTCCTTTGCAAAGCCAAAAACTTCTCCAAGATGTTATCCATGTTGCGGTTAATGACCACAGTCTGAGCATTAACAGCTCTATCCAAGATTTTTCCATGTTGCGGTGTATACTCACAATCTGAGCGTTAACAGCTCTGCTCACTTCACCAATCATGTCAGGCAGCTTCATGGGGCTTTTGACTGCTGACACCGTCTTCCGAATTTTCCGATACACCAGGGCAATGCCTAATCCAATCAGCAGATAGCCTGTTATCATGGTTCCGAATATGTAGAGATCCTCGATGTCCTCTACGGAAAGAATCGCCAGGCACACGACCCTCCACTTCTCCCAGGAGTCCATTGTGTAACCAGTGGCAAACGTTCCTTCAGGGCAGGCAGGTTCCCCCAAACCCGAGCTTCTCGTCGAGAACATTCTGTCAATTGCGTTGAGAGACCAGTTGATATATATATATATTTTAAAATATAAAATAAAATGCTTGAGGGGCTTAACTGGGGCTGCACAGATTTTTGACAGGGCTATAGCACCCCCTAGCCCCAGTGTAGCCCCATGCCTGCTCCACATGCGTCTTCCATAGCTTGGAGAAGGGGTATATGCGTTTGTGGATTTCGGTCATACACTTTCCATCTCCAGGCAGAAAAAAAATCCTCAATAGGATTGAGGAATGGAGAATTTGGAGAGAGATAAACAACTAAAAAGCGTGGGTGGGCAGTGAACAAGTTACGAACCAGAGCAGCCCGATGGAAACTTACGTTGTCCCAAATGACAATGTATGCTCAAGGACTCTCTGAAACACATATGACAATATCAGAAATAGACAAGGAGTGGTCACAATTGTGAAGCCCAATCATTATGATTACAATACTGAAATATGTATAATTTATACAGTGTTGAGAGCATGCATCAATTGTGGGATTGTATAGGACTCACTTGCACATAATTATATCACAATTCTTTGACTCTTTCTGATTTGCTTTCAAATGGCACCCTGTAGACCTGTTTCATCCTCAGATTATTTCTGCACAAGACACGGTCCAGTGTTGATAAGCTTACCGTATCAATATTTTGAAATATCTCATTGTTTTCTATTATTTTTCTTTGTATTTGCTGTAATGTTATGGCATTATTTTCTAGGACCATGTTCATTATTTCAGTTTCCTGTTCAGGAGACAGAAGACGTTCCCGACCACCTTGTGTTGGTAGTCTTTCAGTTCTGCCATACAAATAGTAAAATACTGTAAATACTGTGTAGGAACACAAAGTAGGAATACATTTCCCAAATACTTGAAACATACTTTATTTATACAGTCCTACACAACAGTCCACAGGCAGTACTGTACTACTGTACTCATTGAGTAGGCTACTGTATTGATCTCTGCTCAGGTTAAAGTTAATAATGACCTTCTGACTGCTTCTGACAATGGACTTGTCTCTGTACTTGTATTATTAGATCTTAGTGCTGCATTTGACACCATTGACCATAATATTCTTTTACAGAGACTTGAGCATCAAATTGGCATTAAAGGAACCGCACTAAGCTGGTTTAAGTCATATTTATCAGATCGTTCGCAGTTTGTACATGTTAACGATGAATCTTCAATAAATACTACAGCTAGTCATGGAGTTCCACAAGGTTCTGTACTTGGACCAATACTATTTACTTTATATATGCTCCCTTTAGACAACATTATTAGGAATCACTCCATTAACTTTCACTGTTATGCAGATGATACGCAGTTATATCTATCAATCAAGCCCAATGAAATTAATCAATTATCTAAATTACAAACATGTCTTAAGGACATAAAATCCTGGATGACCTGCAATTTTCTGATGTTAAACTCAGAAAAAAATGAAATTCTTGTTCTTGGCCCCAAAAACCTTAGAGACTCACTGTCTAAAGATATAGTCACTCTAGATGGCATTAACTTGGCCTCTAGCACCACTGTCAGGAATCTTGGAGTTACCTTTGATCAGGACTTATCATTTAACTCCCACATGAAGCAGACCTCTAGGACTGCCTTCTTTCATTTACGTAATATTAGAAAAATTAGACACATACTATCACAGACAGATGCAGAAAAACTAATCCATGCATTTGTTACTTCAAGGCTGGATTACTGCAACTCTTTATTATCAGGTTGCCCCAATAAGTCCATTAAAATGCCAATTTTATTCAGAACGCTGCGGCACGAGTACTGACAGGAACTAGACAAAGAGATCACATCTCTCCTGTACTAGCTTCTCTGCATTGGCTCCCTGTAAAATGTAGAATAGAATTTAAAATCCTCCTCCTCACCTATAAAGCTCTTCATGGTCAGGCCCCTTCATATCTTAAAGAGCTCATAGTACCCTATTACCCCTCTAGAACACTACGTTCTCTGAATGCTGGGCTACTTGTGGTTCCTATAGTCTCTAAAAGTAGAACAGGAGCCAGAGCCTTCAGTTACCAAGCTCCTCTCCTGTGGAACCAGCTTCAAGTTGTGGTTCGGGAGGCAGACACCCTCTCCACATTTAAGAGTAGGCTTAAGACATTCCTCTTTGATAAAGCTTATAGTTAGGGCTGGATCAGGTGAGTCCTGAACCATCCCTTAGTTATGTTGCTATAGGCCTAGACTATCGGGGGATTTCCCATGGTGCACTGAGCTCCTCCCTTCCTCTCTCTTTCTGCACTCATTCATGTCCCATTAATGCATGTTACTAACTTCACTTCTTCCCCGGAGTTCTTGTGCTTTCTCGTCTCGCAGGTTCTTGTCGATCCTGGTGGAGCCTCCTGCCATGGTCCTGCTAGACTGCCATTACCAATACTGTTGTTGCTGTGTACCTGTCTGTCTGTCTCTCTCTCTCTCTCTCTCTCTCTCTCTCTCTCTCTCTCTCACCTCAACTGGTCTAGACAGACGACCACCCACCTAGAGCCGGAGGATCTGTCCTAGGTTTCTGCCTTTTAACAGGCAGTGTTTCCTTGCCCTTGTCTCCAAGGTCTTGCTCATGGTGGTACTGTTGGGTCTCTGTAATTAATGTTTTAAAGAGTTCGGTCTAGACCTGCTCTATTTGAAAAGTGTCCTGAGATAACTTCTGTTATGAATTGGCACTATACAAATAAAATTGAATTGAATTGAATTGAATATGCAGTACTGCAATTTTCTAGTGAGAGTAGATTTCTTATCTATTCTCATTTTGGAAAGTCCAGATGATGGATGCTACAGTGTGCCGGCTCAAATTTGGCTGTACTCTTTACCCAGCCTCCCTCATTGTTAGACCATGGTTGACCAAAGTGGCTTGGATCTCATCAGAGATTATGGTACTCATCCTCGTCCTCCCCGTCCTCCTCCTCTTACTCTCACTCCTCTGCCTCTTGCTCTGCCTCTGTTTCCAATGTTGGCATCCATTGCACCGAAACAGAAGAGCTCACCTGTTGCCCTTTTATGCTAAGGCTCTATGCTAATTGTACAACTGTGTGACAGGTGTTTGCCCATGTGATGAGTCAGTGTAGATGCAGAGAATTGTGTGTAGTGTTTTTAAAAAAGTGTGTTTTAGAACTGCAAGTGTAAAGCAGGAATTGTGCTTGTAGTTTAGCAGGATTGGTTCAGGTGGTTGGTGCATGAGTTACATGTTGTGGTCATTGTGTCTCAGGTACCAGTAATTGTGTGTAAACATTGAGAAAAACTGTTAAGATCTGAGTGATTCAAAACAGACACATTAATTATGAACCATTATTCAACTTTATTGTCATTACAGTGTCAGTGTAAGGAACCAGAGCAGAGAGTAGCAGAAGTGCACTTAAAGAACAATATATGAAGCTAATGTAAAGCATTAACAGTCATATTATGAAATTAAAATCCCAGTGGGCTAACTGGGATTGATGGTGCATGGCAGAGTAACATAATCAGGACTGATTAATGATGTTTCACAGTTCAGTCGATGCACACCTGAACCTTGATGACAGGTGTGTAACTGTCAGACATGGTGGCTCTGATGGTAACAGTTTCACCTTTGTGAGTCAGACTGAGGTCTTTAGCTTTACTTCGGACAAACTTTATCTCTGGTTTGTTATACATCTCATCATAAAGTTTTGCATCACACTGTTTATTCATGTCAAAGATTCCCACTGCAAACCAGTTGGAGTACAGGTTGAAGTCATAAGGATTAGAGAACATGATGGCCAATTTTCCATCATATTGCTGCTTGGATCCTTTCTGCAGATCGTAGGTCAGGACTCCAACAGATCCACAGGCTGTTTTAGGAGTCTTGATGAACAGAGCGCTGCCAGATTCAGAGGGACTGATTGTCGGAGGCATGGGCTTCTCACAGAATCCACTTTTAATGAACACACTGGGGAAACAAGTATCTGAGTTAAACACCCTGCATACTGAGCCCTGGAGTGGCTACAGAAAGAAAAATATAGACATAGATATAGTTTCACTGCACTGAGCACATGAAATGCTAATGTGTGCACAGAAGATAAGTGTATGAACAGAGAGCAACGCAACAGAGCAGCCTTTATCCCCGATGGATGGATGAACTCCAGCTGCTTCAACTAGAACTGTATCGATAACTGAATGGAAACATGGGAATGAATATCAGCATATTGTGTGCTCATTGTAACGTGACTCCATAAGTTGACACTTTAACTTTGACACTGTGTGAATAGAGTTGATATCAGTTTCATACACTATACTATATCATTGCTCTTATCTAAATCTGGGCAAAGGAAACATGTATCCATCATATATGAAACAACACTGAGAGTAAAGGTCGTACTCACCAGGGGTTACACAGGGTGTACCCAGAGCACTTGTTCTCAAACTCAATGGTGCACTGGCGATGGGTTGGCATTTTGTGTTCAGCCTGTAGAGGGAGACAGTGTTTGTATTGATTATAATGTCACATACAGTCAGACACAGAATTCAGACTTCATGTTTATGTGCATGAAGTGAATGTGAGCTGTTCCTCGGCTGTACAGAGTCTGTTCTGACTCACAGTGGAGGTTTCTGAAGACTGACAGGATCACCTGTTCCTCCCATTACTGAATGAGTAAACCAGCCTGATGAAGGAGTGACCTGTGAAAGCTCTAATCAACTTCCAAAAGCACTCCAGCAGTTTGTGTTCAGTCACTACAGAAATACTATCATCAACATATACTGAAAGAATCTAAAGTAACAGTACTCATGTACTATATTGATCAGTATGCACTGTATCTGTATGGATGATATTGATCAGAATACACTGTATCTTTATGGATGATATTGATTAGAATACACTGTATCTTTATGGATGATATTGATCAGAATACACTGTATCTTTATGGATGATATTGATCAGAATACACTGTATCTTTATGGATGATATTGATCAGTATACACTGTATCTTTATGGATGATATTGATCAGTATACACTGTATCTTTATGGATGATATTGATCGATCAGAATACACTGTATCTTTATGGATGATATTGATCAGTATACACTGTATCTTTATGGATGATATTGATCAGAATACACTGTGTCTTTATGGATGATATTGATCAGTATACACTGTATCTTTAGGGATGATATTGATCAGTATACACTGTATCTTTATGGATGATATTGATCCTGTATTGACAGTCAGACTGTGGACATATGACGGCCTTTAGCTCGTGTTTCTAGAGTTACGTGTTGTTACGAACACGTTAGGAATTGTTAAAATGTGATATTTCTTAAAGGGAGTTTGGTGCAGGGAGCTTTTAGTTGGATTCAAACTGCTGATATGGATCATTGTTAATGTTTAGTCTCCACTACAGAAACACTAGCTGACTGCTAAAGACTGATCAGGTTGATTAATGCTTTAATAATGAGAGTATTGATTAGTGATCAGGATCATTATCAGATAACTGTGCTCAGTTTTCTTCTGTAGCATTCAGAGCGGAGCTGGATCAGTCCGCTACTGAAAGAGGATGTGAGGCGTCTCCTCAGTTTCCTCAGGAAGTGGTGTGCACTCTGTTTCCTGTCAACAGCCCATTGCCAAGGTGAACCAGCTCCTCCCCCACAATGTCAACAGACTCATCAACAGTCCTCGTTCTCCTCTAGTCCATCGCCATGGTTTCAGTCACTTTCAGGTTGGTGGTTCCTTCTGGACCAAAGCTAACAAAAACTATGTAGACCACAGAAAAGATCCAGGAGCTCTGTCTTTAGTACTGTGTGCCATCATTACTACCCGGACAGAGTCCAGGTAAAGAGTTAATGGAGAGATCTACTGTTCTGTAAGCCTGCCGCTGACACCTCATAGAAACCTTTAGCTTAACCAGAAACAGCCATCACTGTTGCTCTCCACCATAAAACCCAACAAAACCATCTTTGTTAGTCTCTCCAACAATCACCAACTCTGGTTAGGTGGAAATAAATCTTGAATTCATTATGTCCCAACAACTGGAACGAACATGCTCACCTCAGTATGTGAATTCATTTTACAGTCTGTTAGTTCTGATGTCTCAGCTGTTACTGACAAACCTCAAATCACTGAGATCGTGCACATTGTCTCACTTCTGTCTTCTGGGACAAGTCCACCCAGTCTCTGTGCCATTATAACCAGTCTCTGTCCCACTATAACCAGTCTCTGTCCCACTATAACAGTCTCTGTCCCACTATAACAGTCTCTGTCCCACTGTAACCAGTCCACCCAGTCTCTGTCCCACTATAACAGTATAGCCCGAACTCTTTATAATATTAATTACAGAGACCCAACAGTACCACCATGAGCAAGACCTTGGAGATGGGGATAAGGAGAAACTGCCTGTTAAGAGGCAGAAACCTAGGACAGACCCTTCGGCTCTAGGTTGGTGGTCGTCTGTCTCGACCAGTTGGGGTGAGAGAGACAGAGAGAGAGAGAGAGAGAGAGAGAGAGAACAGACAGACAGACAGTTCCAGGAGAGAAGGCTGCATGAAAAATGTGCTCCTGAATTCATCTCAAACATGGACCTAAACAGTAGGACATTTTGCAAAAGAACCGTCGAATTTTCTTCAGAAAGAAAAGGTAAATACTTTACCAGCAAAACAGAAGAAAGAACAGGGAGGTTAAATACCCTGCTCTCTGTAAGAGTGCAGCAGCCAGGGAGCAGTTATGCACTACACAAAGAAGGAAGGAAGGAAGAAGAACAACCTCATATTCTTCACAGACTCCATATACATCTGGAAGGAAAGTCTGTGCAAGAAATATCCTTACATCTCCAGTGAGGGCATCGGCTCAGGAGACCGATTGAAGATTTGTAAGGATAAACACAAGAAAAGGATGACCCCCTGCTCACCATCACACACTACACAAAGGGAAAGTGTGATGGTCCATGGCAGTGAATGCACTAAAATCTCTACATGCAGAATTCTGCAGATACATTTTACACGTACACAGAAACACACCAACAAATGCATGTAGAGCAGAATTAGGCAGATACCCACTGATAATTAACATTCAGAAGAGAACGCTCAACTTTTTTAACCACCTGAAATCCAGCCCAGAGAAAACCCTCCAATCCAAAGCCCTCCAAACCCAAGAGCTGAGCCCAGAAAAGAGTCCCCTATGTCAGTTGGTACTGAGGCTAACTGCCCCCTCTCAGACACACTCTGACCAGCCTCACAACAACACTGCTCTACAAACAGTAATCAGAGTAAATGATAGCACAATGTAAAGAAAGCTATCTGGACCATTGGGAAGAAACAACTAAAAGCCAAAGTAGATTGAAATGTTATCTTGCCCTTAAAAGAGATTATGAATGAGCAGAATATCTCTCTACTGTCAGAGATAGAAAGCAGAGACAGATCCTAACCAAGTACAGGCTCAGTGACCACAAACCGCCAATCCAAACAGGAAGACACAAAACATCATGGCAACCAAAAGAAAACAGAAAATGTGGTCACTGTTGGACAGGTGAGGTTGAGACAGAGATGCACTTTCTCCTACAATGTACAACATTAAATAATACTAGAAAAATGTATTTGAACAAGTTCAGCTCTTTGGTTCCAGATTTCAAAGAGCTGAACGACCTCTCCAAATTAAAGGCACTCCTCAGAGAAGGAGAGCGGGCACACCTTGCTGCCCAGTATGTATTAACATGCCACAACCTGAGGGACACACACACACACACACACACACACACACACACACACACACACACACACACACACACTGTATATAACTAATATAATGTTCATAATGTACATATCTTTCATATTGTGTATTGTCGATGCTTGTCAATTGTTGATGCTTTGCTTTGGCAATATTGTTTTTAAACTTTCATGCCAATAAAGCCCATTTGAATTTGAATTTGAATTTTAAGAGAGAGAGTCAGACAGATAGACAGACAGAGACAGACAGATAGACAGACAGTTGCACAGCCACAACAGTAGCAACAACTACAATAATAGTAGATGATGAGGACAACAACAATGATGGGGGACAACGAGCAATGACAATAGTAATAATAGTAACTGTAGTTATAATAATATTTAAATATTAATAATAATAATATCAGTAATATCATTATATTATTATTATTATTGCTATTATTATCATTATATTATCATTATTATTGCTGCTATTGCTATTATTATATTAATATTATATTATCATTGTTATTATTATAATTATATCACTATCATCATCATCATCAGTATTATTATTATTGTAGACATAGGATCTGCTGTCTCCCACGAGATCTGGTTTGTATGCTCCGCTCATTAAAGCATCCATACGCGGCACAGAAGTCCGGCATCTTTTCATTCACAAATCTTCCGTCAGAAGCTCGTCTGCTGATAACATTAAGTAGAATTCATATTTGGGTAATAAGACCAGCATTTTTAAAATATCCAAGCCCCCTGTATCATAGCTACATGTGTGACGTTTTTAACAAATCAATACGTTTGGAAATCGGTCCAAAATTCAGCGAATAATTCTACTTTGAGATTGAGGAGTTCCTCTTTCCTTCGTAGGTTGATGCACCGCTGCCTCTGCTAGCCCTGTTCCAAGATGGCCGCCCTGTAGGCACGCCGCTCCACAGTCGATGCAGCGTCTATGTATATATGTCTATGGTTCCTCTAACTCACTAAGCCTCGCCTCCAGTCTAGTAAATAAACTACACTTAATACAGGTACCATTATCTTTAAAGGAGGCAGAGGAATAACTGAACATCTGACACACTGAGCAGGACAGAGGAGAGGGAGAGGGAGAAGCCATAGCTAAATGCTGATGTTAATGAGGCTAGAGTGTATGAAATCTCCGAGTGTTTAGGTAGAACTAGTCTACGTTTAAATGTTAAGCGGGAAAATAACGGCTGTAACGAGTAAAACTAATTTAGATTTCACTGACAGAGCTACAGCACCATCAGAATCAGAAATACTTTAATAATCCCAGGGGGAAACTACTTTCATTACAACTCCAAAACTACATACAAACATATTTACATACAACATATCATATTATTAAGAACATATATATATATATATAAATATATATATATATATATATATATATATATCTGTCCCATATATATAAATATATATATATATATATATATATATATATATATATATATATATATAAACATATCTATATACAGAAGTTAAAGGGTAAAATGTAGAGTTTTGAAAATGTGCAAGAAAGAAGACAGTGCAGAAGTGGTTGTCTGTGTTTGAGTCAGGTTACAGAGGGGGGGTGTCTGACTCTCTGAGAGAGGCGTTGTAGAGTTTAATGACCACAGACAGGAATGATTTCCTGTGGCGCTCTGTGGTGGATCTGTACAAAGAGCAGGGAGTAAACCGGAAATGAGTCAGTACGCTTACCGTAGCACTATAACAGTCTCGGTCCCACTATAACAGTTTCTGTCCCACTATAACCAGTCTCTGTCACACTATAACAGTCTCGGTCCCACTATAACAGTTTCTGTCCCACTGTAACAGTCTCTGTCACACTATAACCAGTCTCTGTCCCACTGTAACAGTCTCTGTCCCACTGTAACAGTCTCTGTCCCACTGTAACAGTCTCTGTCACACTATAACAGTCTCTGTCCCACTAATCAGTAAAAGTAAACAGACCAATATTTAAAAATACTCTAACAAGTACACAAAGACTGTAGAGTACTGAGAGTAAAAGTACTTTGTTCTATGAGTAAGAGAACAATCAGTGGAACCGCAGTCAGTTTACATAAAGAGAACTTCTTACCTGTTCTGGAGTCAGTGGGATCAGACTGTCTTCAGTGAGTCGACTGAGACCAAACAGGAATCTGCATCAGACTGTGGCTGTCTGCTCTCTCCTCTTATGGGCCCAGAATCAACCCCACCCCCTCCCAATGTGTATAATCTGTTAAACACTAACAGAAACAGCAGTAACGATTGTGAATCAGAACAAGCAGAAAGGAGACTGAACATTTATTTCACAATGTATATTCTGTCTCCTCCCCATTTGTTAATTTAGCTTTTAGAACAAAAAAGCCTGTTGGACCCCAAACCCAACAGGAAGCTGCTTTCAGGTTTAATTTCATTCCTTATAGTTGTTTTATATAATACAAAGACAATTCTGTTTTTTATTCGGTGCAAAATAATAAAGGTCAAATGTGAGCAATAAAAAGGTTTTTAGGCCTTTATTTGTTGTTTGGATGTGAACAGATATAAAATAATCATATATAGATGTTAGTAATGGAAACATTTCTATTCCGCTATTTAAACAATAGTGAGTTTACAGATACAATTATAAAGATTCATAAAATAAACAAAGACAAGCAATTAGAAGGTGTGCAGAACATTATGTGGTACATGCATGACAAACACAAAATGATGAGTAAAGTCAGAAACTTTCTTTCTTTTACACATTTAATATATTTTTTAATGTAATTAAAAATCAAACCAACCAAAGAAAGCAAAGGGGCTTAATTGTTCATAAAATTTACATTATATGTAATTTCCTCTTTCAGTTCAATCTTCTTTGTCCCTGGAGGGGAATCGCATTTACAGTAGAGGGTAAAAAAACACGCAACCGGAACTACATCTGTTGCTTTAAACCATGAGGGTGTATCTCTGCCCACAAAGGAGAAGGACTAATTCCTCTGACAGTGTTGTCAGAGCGGGTTCAACCTTCGTCTGTCATACACATAAAGCAGGGGTGGCCAACCAGTCAGAGACTAAGAGCCACATTTTTGACTGTGTTACTGCAAAGAGCCACATCATACACACGGCAGGGCTCCAGACTAACTTTTTGCATTGGTTGCACTGATGCGCCTAACTTTTTTTTTTAGGTGCACCCAAAATTCATTGCGTTGCCTTTAACGCCATAAGGTCACCTTTTTATCGCTCTCCATAACTTTCATATAATGTGAATGATTTTTAAACAAGAATAAGGTGTAGAGAAATGCTTGTCTTTATTTGAAGCACAATTATATATAAAAAGAAAAATAAAGTGTTTAAATTGCTTCACTGAACTGAAATTGAACATTTCAAACTCAAACATTTCAAGTAAAATAATTATTAATGATAATAATAATGATTACTACTACCTGCCACTAAAATGCAGCTGGCAGAGGGGCAACTTTCTCTACACACACTTGTCACAGCCTATCGTGTGTTTTTTAGACATGTTATGTTTTTTTAAAGTTTCACGAATGCACTATTTCCGGCCATATTCTGACCGCACTCATGACAGTACAACAAGAATAAGGTGTAGACAAATGCTTGTCTTTATTTGAAGCACAATTATATATAAGTGTTTAAAGTGCTTCACTGAGCTGAAATTGAAACTAAATTTCAAACTAAAACACTAAGAAAAATAAACTCCTCACTCCTGACAGTACACGCAGTGCATTGCGTTACGTCCTTTGTTGTACCTCAGCCAGGGAAATTGTTTCAGCCAGTCCTGTCTGAAGGAATATATTTTGGCCTTTTTAATTTGGGTCTCGGAGCCGGGCTCTATCCCAGACTCTCAGTAGTGGGGATGGATGGGATTATAGTAGTAGGGCTGGTTGTAGGCTTGGTTTTCTTAATGAAAAAACTTTCAATATTTCTGCCTCTCTTCATTTTCCCTTGTTTTGTCGCGTTTATTTTATTTTCCGTTTCAGTTAGTCAGCTATTCTCGTGCTCAGGTCGTGCGCAATTTTCAAACATACGCAACTTAGCGCGGTGAACAGGACCACAGCCAATCAGAGGCAAAGACCCGCCTGAGCTCTGTCTCTTGTTGGTTTAGAACACGATATGATCCTACCATGAGTGTGTGAGTTCGGTCACAGGAGAACACAAAGAGGTGATGTGCTTGCAAAATAAATGTATGTTTTTGCCAGGGCAGCGTCAGGTGCACCAGTGCGACCTAGAAAAATTATTAGTCGCACTCTTAAAAATTTTGGTCGCATGTGTGACCAAATTGGCCAAATTGGTCACACTCTTGAGCCCTGCACGGGCACACGTGAACATCCCCCCATCCCTTCCTCTCTCTCTCTCTCTCTCTCTCTCTCTCTCACACACACACACACACACACACACACACACACACACACACACACAGACCTCTGCTCAGCCAGATTTACTGTAAATGTCACACACCAACATGATAATGACAGAAATGGACTCCTACAGTACTAAGACCACAGGCCAGTCATTTTCAACAATGAACATTGTGTGCAATGTTTCACACAAACAAACTCTCAGTTCAACCAAGTCCACAAACAAAAATATAACAATTTACAATAGCGCGTTTTTCTCTTACTATGCATTTTGCTTAGTGGGACTTCTAGCATTCCTTGCCTTGAACAATCCTCTTCAAATCTGGCTTGTATTCCGTTGTTGCCACTCGAAGCAATTCTTTCAAATGTGTGTCAGTCAGAACAGATCGATGCTTTGATTTCACATGTTTCAGGGTAGAAAACAGAGACTTGCAGACGTATGTTAACCCAAACATTGACAGTACCTTGAGCGCAGCCCGTTTGACATTGGGGTATTTTTCCATTGGCACACTTTTCAAGAACTCAATGGTCCCTTCCCTTAAAGCAGGTTTCAGTTGGTCCTCCTCACAAAGATCGATCATCTCTAACTCAGCCGCAGCCTCATCTGTGACTAGTGGGGATTTCAAACAGTCCGTCTCCGCATTAAAAGGGCCGATGAGGAACGTGATCTGTGGCCTTTTCAGTTGTAGATCACGGAACCGGGTCACAAAGCTTTGGTGCAGGTTTTAAACCAGTGTTGCATATCTGGCTGTTTGCTTATTCAGGGCGCCGCTGGTGACTTGCCCGCTGGCTTTTAGCGGAGCGGGAAAATGCGCTAAATCTCCCTTTTGAATATCTTCTTGAACAGCTTCAGTTTGTTGACCAACGCAAACACACTTTGCACCAGGTCAGGCAGCATTTTTACCCTGCAGGGTCAGGTTCAGACCGTCCAAGTGACACAGCATGTCGACCAAAGAGGCCAGATCCATAATCCACTTGGGGTCCAAGAGCTCGGGATAGTCCTTGTCACAAAGCAGTTACCGACGGAGGAGTCGAGCCTTCGTTGCCTCCGTCATGGCGCAAATTAGTGGGCTCACCCAGGTGTGACGTTCACATCAATGCCGATCGGAGGTGAAGCTGATTAATATCGGGTGTTAGCGGGTTTTTTTGGGCAGTGTTAAAGGGGCTATACACAACATAAAATTCGATATGAACGTAAGAGCTGCATGAAACCCGGCAAATAGCAGCATGCAGCTCGGGAGCCGCGGGTTGGCCAGGCTTGAAATAAAGAAATGTGTGTTCACTATTCTGCTTTAATGGTGAACAAAAACTGTGAGGAGCAGAATGAGAATGAAGCCACCTGCCCTTGGGCGCGGACTGACATTGAGGAAGGTCGCAGCTGATGAGTAAAGCATTAATGTAAGAGTTCTTCCACTGGGACATTCAGTCTGATGGTGGCGTCACTGTAGTCTGGACTGCAAACTACAACCAGTCCTGTAGTAGCTGGTTTCCGCTCTGGCTGAAACGAGTTCTGAACTGAGCAAGAAACATAATAAAATAAGAATCATTAGTGTTTTTTTATTTTTATATTTTTTTTAGAATGAGAATTTTTTTATCTTGGAGTCCGCCATGTTGAACCACCATGTTTCTACAGTAGACCAGAACGGACAAACCAAACACTGGATCTAGATAGGGAAGTTTCCTGTCCACCGTAGTTTCTCCTACATATTTGGGATGCAAGGGAGTTGCGGTCTTGAACTACACCACTAGATGCCACTAAATCCTACAGACTGGACCTTTAACTGACTTACAGACTCTATCCAGGAGCAGCCTTAAGTTGAAGCTGGACCAGCATGGCTCCTATCGACTCTCTTCCACTCCTCTTGGGGCTGACTTGGCTGCTCTTTAATGCAAACCCCACTCTTCATTTTCTGATGACTATAGACTGTTTGTGTCAGAGGTAATACGTGTTTCAGCAATAAAGCCAGGAACATATTGAAACAAGAACAGAGGTTTGAAGGAGCTAACTTTCCAGTCGCAGCACCTGAACACTCAGCCTCAGTTTCAATCGCCTGAATCCAGTTGAAACAGTTTTCTAATCTAATCCAATCAGACATTATTCAGAGATGTTTTCAGCAGTATTGATTAAAACAAACAGTTTGAACTGGCCGCTGATAGCAAAGTGGCCTCAGACTCCAAAGAAACGTATAAAAGAATCCATCCAGCTCACAGTGAACGTCAGTGGTGACACTGACATCATGGTGCTGTCCACAGCGCAGGCGTACTGTCTCTGCAGATACTCTTTGTCAAACCTCCGTCCAGCAGACTGATCACCCAGACAGGCAGCGAGATGGACGGTGGCCTGGAACCTGGAGGACAGCAGCACCAGAGAAAAGGCCAGAGAGACGACGGAGAACGGGACACTCTGTGAGGACCGGCTGTCTGCTGGGAGGATGAATGGGATGACAATGCGGTTTCTCTCAGGTGGGCCGTACTTCTTTGAGAGAGACTCAAATCTCTTCCAGACGCCGTCCTCTTGTTGTCTGAGAGGACTCAGGGTGATGTTGGGAATCTTCTGATCTCCAGCTTTCTTTATTGAGTTCCAGCTGTCTGGCAGTTTTGTGGGTCGATGTCCTTCATCAGGAGTTTGGCAGCTGTGTTTCCTCCCACACGTAAAGACTCTGTGCTGTGGCTTCATGCGTCCTGTAGCGACAGCGTAGACCACATCGGCACTCATGGTGCAGTTCCAGGGAGAGTACAGGAGCACGTCTGTGAGGGTGGACAGAGGCAGGAGGCAGCTGGCCGGGATCAGGGAGTCTCTGATCGCTCCATGTGCCACAAACGTGATGTCCACACTGCTGCCGTGGTTCTTCTTCTCTTCCTCGTCTATGTGCTTCTTCAGGAAGTGAAACATGTCCACCAGTTGGGAGAAAACGTCAGATTCTGAATTTTCTCTCAGCCACTGGAGAACCGTCTCATTTCTGCAGTTTTCTGTTGCTAACTTTATTAATTTCTTCCTTTCATCCGAGCTCCTATTGATGTTTTCAATAGTGTAGAATTTAACTAACAAGGACAATCTGTAAGAAGAATTGTAAAAAGAAGAATCTTAGGCACATAATTTCACCAAATTCAAGAAACATTTCAAATAATGCATCCAGATGTTACTGACTAGTACATCTACTACTCTTAATCTCAGGATGTGAACAGAAAACAGGCTGTATGGAGGTCTTTAGAGGTCCCCATGAAACAGGAATTATTACATTAGCGTTTACAGCAACTATTAGCCCTGAGTGACTGCGGTTAGCTACTGATCAATCTGTCCATCAGAAACTCTGTTAATGACCTCGGTACTGTAACATTATTCCCTGTCGGTCTCAGAGACTGTGTTCTACCCCGGTCTGGCTGCTGAGCCCGGTTCTGATGCCCGCTAACAGCAGATACAGTTAGCAGCAATTAATTAGCAGTTAGCTACTTTAGCTTAAGCTATCTGTCCATCAGGAAACGCTGTGAATCACAGAGAGTTGAAGCTGAGCAGCCGGAGGACGACAGAGGGAAAACCAGGAAATATTTTCCCCATAAAATCTGATCCAGTTTCACCAAAATCACTGAATACAGTTAGAAAGTAGTACCGTGACAGCCCTCAGAAACACTCTAGCTGCTCCGGCAGCTACAGAAGAGAGAAAGCGTTTGATTGGACGCAGCATTAGTCAGGATGAGTCATCAAATACTTGTATTGATTATCAGGAAACTCTAAAGTACCTTTAAAACACCTGAAGATACCTGAAACAGGACTTCCTGTCCCTGTTGGACAGAAACTGGAGGACAGGAGACATACAGAGACACTGAAATACTGATTCTGACTTCATGGGGTCTTTAAAAGTCTCAAAATTAGTGAATGGAGCCGGGTTCAGAGTTCAGGGGTTTTGGGTCAGATTGTAATGGAGTCTGTTCTAGGACCTTGGTTTGAACCTTTTTTTTACCTGACACTTTATCTGATGTCTGGTTGAACAGATTATGTTTCTACAGTAGCCCAGAACGGACAAACCAAACACCGGATCTAGATTTCCTGTCCACCTGTCCTGTACTGGTGTTTTTTTGTTGAATCCTTTAGGATTTATAAAAGAGTCTGGACCTCAGGAACATGTTTGATTGAACGTCTAAAGGAATAAAACCTTTTTTAAAACCAGTTTGATCATTTTCAGACCGCTGTTGCTGCAGTTTCCTCAGTTCCTCTAAAGCAGTCTGCAGCTTCTCCCTGTCATACTGCTCACTAATCAGGTCTCTACAGTCCATTATAGAGTCCAAGACTTCTTCCTGATAAACAACACAAATCATTATTATCAAAGAATTATTATTCTTATTATTGGAGCCTGAGGCGTCTCGTTACTGATCAGTTGATTGATCTGAAATAATGATCTAACAGCTGACCAGAGAACAGATTTTAAATGTAAAGAACATAAAGATATATAAGTTTTACATTTGAGGAACATATAAAGGAACAAATATCATCAGCATATTGTATGTTCTAGAGTCATTATAGTTATTGGATTATTAAATATGTGGGTTAAAGAAACACTATTGATCTCTTTACTTTATTTAACAGTATGTCAAGTTCTTCTAGCTACAGACTGAACTATCAACATCAGATATATTATACTACACTGCCCCCCAAAGGCAAACCACAGTAACTACAGTGTTACTACCCTTCCCGTTCCCTCAGATCTGCCTCCTCTGTCCACCTCTCTGTCCCTCCCGCCCGCCTGCCCCCCAACCCTGGAACTCACTCCCACCGGACCTCAGGAACCTGGACTCTCTCACACTCTTCAAATCAAGATTAAAAACTCACCTATTCAGAACTGCCTACCCCACTTAACCATCTACATTGTCTTTTCTCATCTGTTTCTTATTTCTTGCTGTTTTTTTGTTTTGTTTTTTTTGTGTTGTACGGTGTCCTCGAGTGCCCAGAGAGGCGCCTCTAATAATTTAATGTATTATTATTATTATTATATATTGAAGTCTGGTCCATGTGCAAAGTGTTTGCACACCACCTGCCCTTAAATTGAATCTTGAATTTCTTGAATATCTATCTATCTATCTATCTATCTATCTATCTATCTATCTATCTATCTATCTATCTATCTATCTATCTGATATAGTGTAGGGGGCGTGGCCTATGCTAATAAACAGTGCTGCAGTGGGACTGTCATTGAGCTCTGTAGGATTTGATTGGATGGTTAAGGCAGACACCCTCACCACATTCAAGAGTAGGCTTAAGACATTCCTCTTTGATAAAGCTTATAGTTAGGGCTGGATCAGGTGAGTCCTGAACCATCCCTTAGTTATGCTGCAATAGGCCTAGACTATCGGGGGATTTCCCATGGTGCACTGAGCTACTCTCTTCCTCTCTCTTTCTGCACTCATTCATGTCCCATTAATGCATGTTACTAACTCCACTTCTTCCCCGGAGTTCTTGTGCTTTCTCGTCTCGCAGGTTCTCATGGATCCTGGTGGAGCCTCCTGCCATGGTCCTGCTTGACGGCCATTGCCAATAGTGCTGTTGCTGTGCACCTGTATGTCTGTCTGTCTCTCGCTCTCTCTCTCTCTCTGCCTCTCTCTCTCTCACCCCAACTGGTCGAGACAGACGACCACCCACCTAGAGCCGGAGGATCTGTCCTAGGTTTCTACCTTTTAACAGGCAGTTTTTCCTTGCCCTTGTCGCCAAGGTCTTGCTCATGGTGGTACTGTTGGGTCTCTGTAATTAATGTTATAAAGAGTTCGGTCTAGACCTGCTCTATTTGAAAAGTGTCCTGAGATAACTTCTGTTATGAATTGGCGCTATACAAATAAAATTGAATTGAATTGAATTGAATTAAAAAGCTGATATTAACAGAAACTGAATCAATAACAGCTGTATAAATGTATTCTTCATATGGAAAAGAATCCATAGGGATCAATAAAGGAACATCTTATATTGATTATTAACCAGCACCATAATGACTGTGTGACCCCTAGAGGGCGCTACAGTAACACACAGAATCCAGCAGTCAGAGTACAGGGACAGTAAACCATTGCTTTACAGCATACAGTAACTAATAGTGGAACTAATAACTAATAAATGTCAGTAATAATACCAGTTACACCCGAATTAAAGGTAATCAGTTACATTACTATGATTTTAACAAACAAAATTGGACTTTAATCGTCGTCAGTCTGAATTATTGGACACAATTATTAATTCTGTGGAGAGAAGCAGAAAAGTACTATAACTACTAGTGTAACTGATTACTGTTGGCAGGAAGTAATAAGTAAAGTAATATTACTTTTTAAAAGAGTAATGAGTAATAAATTAAGTGTTTTGAGTAAGTGGCCCCACAGTGAAAGCAACAGATAAATGATAATCAATAATCAATATAAGTGCCTGTAGATCTGATGGTAAACATTTTTACTGAAGCAGAAATCATTGTTGGGTCTTACCTGGAGCGTCACAGGTGAGTGCCTGAACCTCAGCTCAACTATAACTGAGCTCACACAGGAGACAGGTCCTGTATCCTATTGGCTGATTCAACACAAGACAGGTGAAAGTGAAACTAAATGTACGGCGGTATTCCCCAGGATTTCCAAAATAAAGTGTGCTGTTAAAACAGAAAGTAAAAGCTAGCGGCACTGACACACTGAGTGTAGCTGTGCTAGGCTAATCTAAAAGACATAGAGTTTTATCTTAAGTCTGCTAATATTAAACTCTAGCTAACTAGCTAGATATATGTATGTTAGTGGCAAAATGCGAGCTAGTTAGCTATTGGCCATGACCTATAACTAAGTAGCCAATCATTGATGTAGATCAGCTACATCAATACGCCCTCTACTGTGTAAAATCAGCCTTTAAGGCCAATGCTAACATAGAGCTTAGCTTCAACACAGTTGTAACTAACTGAATAAACCAGAAGCAACAATTATATAAAACAAAAAACAAACAAAATAACAACAACAATAATAAAAGAAACAAAACTTCATTAATTAAAGGTTCATTAATTTATTGATCATCATCGATGAGGTTACATTAATAATAATAATAATAATAATGAAGTCTGATTGTTGCAGTTTGAGTAGAAGTACACAGTGTGAGTACTTCAGTTCGGCTTTGTTCGTCAATAAAGAATAAAAATAACTAGTCCTAAAGTGTCGACTTCATCTGACAGTTGATAGACGGACTGTGGAATTCATCACAGAAAAAAAATATGTATATTGATATAAATCACGTTATTGATTATTGGATCCATTAATATTCACTGAGGATCGATCGACCAATCAGCTCAGACTGATCGGAGACGTTTTTATTATAAAGTTATTATTAATATTTCCTTTATTCTGTTTATATTCATTTGAAGTTGTTGTCATTAATTAAAAGCATTAAAATGAATAATCATATTTATGAGTTTGACGGTGTAGTAACGGTGTTTGACCTCTGAGGGCAGCAGAGGACAGGCTGACGCTGTCGTATCTCAATGGCAACAGAGTAAACACAGAAGGGGTGGGGCTTCAGCCTAGTCACATGGTTGGACGTAGTTTTCAGGGAAGAATCCCGCATTGCCATTGACGACGCCCTCGCACCAACCGTCGCCATGGCGACGCGTCAGGTAGATGATGTCACCCTCGCTCAGAGACAGGTCGTCAGGTTTGGTCGCCTCGTAGCTGTACAGTGCCACCACTGGACACACAGAGAACTACAGTCAGACACACTGACACCGCAGTAGTACTGCAGTAATAGTATCAGCAATATTAGTAATAGTAGTAATATTATTTGTATTATTAGTTGTAATATTATTAGTAGTATGAGTAGTATTAGTAGTATTATAAGTAGTATTATTAGTAGTAATATTATTAGTATTATTATTATTAGTGGTATTATTATTAGTAATATTATTAGTGTTATTATTAGTAATATTATTAGTAGTAATAGTAGTAATATTATAAGTATGAGTAGTAATATTATTAGTAGTATTAGTAGTAATATTATTAGTAGTATGAGTAGTATTAGTAGTGATATTATTAGTAGTATGAGTAGTATTAGTAGTATTATTAGTAGTAATATTATTAGGTAGAGTAGTATTAGTAGTGAGTAGTATTAGTAGTATGAGTATTAGTAGATTATTAGTAGTAATATTATTAGTTATTATAGGATTATTAGTAGTAAATTATTAGTATTAGTATTAGTAGTATTATTAGTAGTATATATTATAAGTAGTAATATTATTAGTATTATTATTAGTGGTATTATTATTAGTAGTAATATTATTAGTATTAGTATTAGTAATATTATTAGTAGTATGAGTAGTAATATTATAAGTAGTATTAGTAGTAATATTAGTAGAAGTATGAGTAGTATTAGTAGTATTATTAGTAGTATTATTAGTAGTAATATTATTAGTATTATTAGTAGTGGTATTAGTAGTAATATTATTAGTATTATTATTAGTGGTATTAGTAGTAATATTATTAGTATTATTAGTAGTGGTATTAGTAGTAATATTATTAGTAGTATGAGTAGTTATATTATTAGTAGTATTATTAGTAACACCACCTTTCTTCAGGTATTCTGGGGGGGCGTTGATGTCATAGTCCACTGGCGGAGGGAGGGGAGGCAGGATGTCATCAAAACCACCTATATCGTCCAATAGGAGAGGAGGGGGCGTGGCTGGAAGTTCTAGGTCTAAGAGAACAGGACACAGGTGAGTGACAGCTGATTGGCCAATAAAGTTTGAGGAGGCGGGGCTTTGACAGGAAGCAGAAGTGATATTACAGTAATACTACAGTACTTTAATAGTACTATATATTACTATTATACTATTATATACAACTGTAATACTATTATAATTCTATTAGAATACTATTATATACTACTGTAATAGATACACAGAACTACAGTACCAGTAGAATATTTGTGCTGCTGTTAATAGAACCACATTAGTACTTGTGGTTCCTATAGTCTCTAAAAGTAGAACAGGAGCCAGAGCCTTCAGTTACCAAGCTCCTCTCCTGTGGAACCAGCTTCCAGTTGTGGTTCTGGAGGCAGACACCCTCACCACATTCAAGAGTAGGCTTAAGACATTCCTCTTTGATAAAGCTTATAGTTAGGGCTGGATCAGGTGAGTCCTGAACCATCCCTTAGTTATGCTGCAATAGGCCTAGACTATCGGGGGATTTCCCATGGTGCACTGAGCTCCTCTCTTCCTCTCTCTTTCTGCACTCATTCATGTCCCTTTAATGCATGTTACTAACTTCACTTCTTCCCCGGAGTTCTTGTGCTTTCTCGTCTCGCAGGTTCTCATGGATCCTGGTGGAGCCTCCTGCCATGGTCCTGCTTGACTGCCATTGCCAATACTGTTGTTGCTATGCACCTGTCTGTCTGTCTGTCTGTCTGTCTGTCTGTCTCTGTCTCTCTCTCACCCCAACTGGTCGAGACAGACGACCATCCACCTAGAGCCGGAGGATCTGTCCTAGGTTTCTGTCTTTTAACAGGCAGTGTTTCCTTGCCCTTGTCTCCAAGGTCTTGCTCATGGTGGTACTGTTGGGTCTCTGTAATTAATGTTTTAAAGAGTTCGGTCTAGACCTGCTCTATTTGAAAAGTGTCCTGAGATAACTTCTGTTATGAATTGGTGACTATACAAATAAAATTGAATTGAATTGAATTAGTACTGCATTAGTTCTACATTAGTACTACAGACTAACAGCAGTCTGTGTTCTTACCCAGGTGTTCAAGGCGAGCAGGTAAACAGAGCCGAGAGGAGGAGGAGGAGGGGTGAGGAGGAGCGTTTGGAGGAGGGTAGGGGGGAGGAGGGGGAATCATCACTGACAGACAAACAGACAGACAGACAGAGGCAGACAAACAGACAGACAGAATCAGTATCAAACAGTACCACAGTTTCTACAGGGAGGCAGTGATCAGCTGGAACCTTCCTGGAACTTTCTCCAGGACCCTGTTAACCCCTCAAGGACCCTATTAACCCCTCAAGGGTCTCTACAACTTCCTTAAGGCCTCCCAGGACTTCGTCAAGGACTACTGGAACCATTTCAAGGACCCATATAACTGTCTCAAGGACCCCAGAACCTCCTCAGTGACTTCAAAAACCTCCTTAAGAACCCCTAGAAGTTCCCCAAATGAGTCCTGGAAGTCAAGAACCCCTGAACGAACCCCTCCAGGTGTCTGTCTGTATCTGTCAGCTGTTCTGAGTTTCTACTGGGCGGAAGTGGCGTCCTCCGTCGGCTTACGTGATTGGACAGCAGGCAGGAAGAGAGAGCGCGTGTAGCGGCAGCGGGAAGCGGGGCCAGAGCGGACCCTCAGAGAGAGAGAGCGAGTGGTAGGGGGCGAGCGACGGTGGCGACTCCTCCTGGACGGGAGGGTCACTGAGGAAAAACACCACAGAAGAAGAAACTGAGAGAAAGGCAGAGAGACAGACAGACAGACAGACAGACAAACAGACAGACAGGTACCATCTACTTCTTGACTGGCTGGAGGTGGAGGGGGCGGGGCTGGCAGTTCTGAACCCTCATTGGCCAGCGGAGGGAAGCCGCCATCATTAGAGGGAGGTGGAGGAGGAGGAGAGGGAGGGGGGAAGCTGCTCTCCTCCACCACTGAGGAGACAGAGGAGGTGTGATGTCACTGTGATGTCACTGTGATGTTGACAATGTTGACAATCTGTCGTCATGGTAACCTGATTTGTTACTGTAAGAAACCTCACCTGTCTCTAGGCTTAGAGGCGGAGCCGGCGGTAGATCGCTGTGATTGGCCGGAGCACCCGAAGGCGGAGGTGGAGGAGGAGGGGGCGGAGCCACCATCTGCCCTGACGAATCAGGCGGTGGAGGCGGAGGGGGCAGGGCCGAGGCGTTGATGACCTCGTCATTCGGAGCCATTTCATTGGCTGTCAGAGGAGGAGGAGGCGGGGCATCGTCCAGCAGTGTGCTGATGATGTCACACTCAGGTGAAGCCTGGAAGGCGGCCGGGATGGCGGGCGGAGCCACAGGGTTTCCCAAAACTGGAGCTGAGAGAGACACTAATCAATCAATGTGATCGTAAAGGGTTAAAAAGAGCTGATTGATAATGGATGTTCTCCAGTCTGTGCCTGAGAGGCAAAAATCAGGGCAACATAACAGCCCCGGTGCTTTTATTGTGAAAATCAACAGCTGGAAACTGGTCCTCACAAACATAGTGAGATCATTACCCGCTAACAGGGGGCGCCACCGGGCACTGGACCGGCTCTGGAGGTTTATTGGACCTGGAACACACACACACACACACACACACACACACACACACACACACACACACACACACACAACAGTCAGACTTCCTGTTAGAGATGTTGGAAACAGGAAGTTGTCATTTATAGAAAGTCAGTAGAGTCTAACTCTGAACCTGGTGGAGGCGCCGTGTTTACGGATGGTTCCTGTTCGGTCCGACTGTTTCCCAGAGACCTGGGGGGGGCAGAGAGACATTGTGTGTGTGAGCATCAATAGAGCTTCTCAGGGCTCAGCAGCTCTAATTAATCTCTCTAAACATTTTCCCACGCTCAACAAAGACAGCCTGTCTCTGTTTGTGTGTGTGTGTGTGTGTGTGAGTGAGTGAGAGACCACTTCCTCATTCAAGCCTCTGATCAGCAGCAGAAGTAAAACTCACATAAACAGTTTCTCTGAGTTCAGTTTGTCCTCCATCACTTCCAATGACAGGACAGACTGACAGCAGCCAGCTTCAATAATGTTACAGTAGTACACAGTGTTCTGCAGTAGTACACAGTGTTCTGCAGTGTTCTGCAGTAGTACACAGTGTTCTGCAGTAGTACACAGTGTTCTGCAGTAGTACACAGTGTTCTGCAGTGTTCTGCAGTAGTACACAGTGTACTGCAGTAGTACACAGTGTTCTGCAGTGTTCTGCAGTAGTACACAGTGTTCTGCAGTAGTACACAGTGTTCTGCAGTGTTCTGCAGTAGTACACAGTGTTCTGCAGTGTTCTGCAGTAGTACACAGTGTACTGCAGTTGTACACAGTGTTCTGCAGTGTACACAGTGTTCCAGTTTAGTAGTACACAGTGTTCTGCAGTGTTCAGTAGTACACAGTGTTCTGCAGTATAACAGTGTTCTGCAGTAGTACACAGTGTTCTGCAGTAGTACACAGTGTTCTGCAGTAGTACACAGTGTTCTGCAGTAGTACACAGTGTTCTGCAGTAGTACACAGTGTTCTGCAGTAGTACACAGTGTTCTGCAGTAGTACACAGTGTTCTGCAGTAGTACACAGTGTTCTGCAGTAGTACACAGTGTTCTGCAGTAGTACAGTGCACTATACGATGCAGTGCAGGAGGACGAATGTGTGGTTTTCTGCAGTCGCCACCGCTTCCTGTTAGCAACCCGTCTGCAGACTCTGCATCCAGAACTAAACTTCTGCTTCTGTTTCCTCTCTGAAATGTGCTCTGTGCTGATTCACACATTCTATAATGAGCCTCCAGCTGATTATCAGAGAAGCTGAGCTCAACCCAGACGGCTGATGGAAACTGGTGGACAGAAAGTTTAACCAGGACGTTTCAAATGTTAGGTTGTAACACTAAACAGGTTCTCGCAGGTTCTTATCGATCCTGGTGGAGCCTCCTGCCATGGTCCTGCTAGATTGCCATTGCCTATTCTGTTGTTGCTGTGCACCTGTCTGTCTGTCTCTCTCTCTCTCTCTCTCTCTCTCTCTCTCTCTCTCTCTCTCTCTCTCTCACCCCAACTGGTCGAGACAGACGACCACCCACCTAGAGCCGGAGGATCTGTCCTAGGTTTCTGCCTTTTAACAGGCAGTGTTTCCTTGCCCTTGTCTCCAAGATCTTGCTCATGGTGGTACTGTTGGGTCTCTGTAATTAATGTTATAAAGAGTTCGGTCTAGACCTGCTCTATTTGAAAAGTGTCCTCAGATAACTTCTGTTATGAATTGGCGCTATACAAATAAAATTGAATTGAATTGAATTGAATTAAACTGGCAGTTTTCCAATGGAAGTTCTGCATTGGTGTGTTTTAAGTCTACAAACATACCTGCTGGCCGACGTGTGTGTGTGTGTGTGTGTGTGTGTGTGTGTGTGTGTGTGTGTGTGTCTATGAGATACCTTCATGCCGTGGCCCAGGCCGTCCAGCTGCTGGTAGTTGATTGGCCGGCGACTGTATGGTGGGCGGGGCTGAGTACCAGCAGGTTGAGTAGGGGGGAGGATCTTGTGGCTGCGCGGGACTCGTCTCACCGCTGTAAAGGCACCGATTTCTCTTCGAGAAACTTTCTCTTTGTGCATCTCCACCGTCTGAGGAGGACAGCGAGCACATTAATGCATCAGTCGGAAACCGCGCCGCACGTTAACCACCCTGTAAAATACTGAGCAGTCCGCCTCTCATCAGAGTCATGTGTTGTTATGGACACGTTAGGAATTGTTAAAAAGTGATATTTCTTAAAGGAGTTTGGTGCAGGGAGCTTTTAGAAAGAACAGGACAAACTCACTGAACACTGAATAAAGGAAGAGGAATGTAGAACTCATAGACGACACTTGAAATCACAGCAGTTTGTTAACGATAGAGAACACAGAGCAGACGGAGAACAGAGGCTCCATTCATCCATTCATTCATCCATTCAGTCAGTCCCGATGGAGAGGAGGCTATTATCACACACACACACACACACACACACACACACACACACACACACACACACACACACACACACACAGACACACACTGATGACCTGGATCTGTATTCTCAGCACACTGTGAGAATCAACTCTGCTCTACATACAGTCGTTGTTGTAGAGAGGAGACAGCCTACATTTCCCACAATGCACCTGCACACTTTATTAAACCGAATGTATGTTACACAACTGAAGACATCACTGTGACAGAAGACAGTGGGGTGACACTGTAAATGACACATCTTGAGTGATTGGTTATTGATTGTTAAAAAGTGATATTTCTTAAAGGGAGTGTCTCCATTACAGAAACACTAGCTAACTGCTAAAGTCTGATCTCAAGAGTAAGGGCGGGGCTCACCTGACCAATGAGGTTGATGGAGGACTCCATGTGACGCAGCTGATTGGTCTGAGCGTCGAGCAGAGTCAGTACGCTGCTGGCCAGAGTGCTGATCTGGTACGCCACGCTGGCCAGTGATTGGGTGGTGAACTTTTTTGTTTCCTCCAACGCCTTCAGGCTGCCCTCACCTGCCTGAACACAGGAGGTTAGCTTAGCATTAAAGCTGGAGGAATAGGGAAACTGCTATCTTAGCTTAACTGAGCATAGCATAGCATAGCATAGCATAGTTTTTACAATACTAATCCAATCCAATCCAATCCACTTTATTTATATAGCACGATTTTAACAAACACAAGGTTTCCAAAGTGCTGCACAAAAAGATTCAATGTTCAATTCACTTTATTTGTATAGTGCCAATTCATAACAGCTTTTCAAATAGAGTAGGTCTAGACCGAACTCTTTAAAACATTATTTACAGAGACCCAACAGTACCACCATGAGCAAGACCTTGGAGACAAGGGCAAGGAAAAACTGCCTGTTAAAAGGCAGAAACCTAGGACAGATCCTCCGGCTCTAGGTGGGTGGTCGTCTGTCTCGACCAGTTGGGGTGAGAGAGAGAGAGAGAGAGAGAGAGAGAGAGAGAGAGAGAGACAGACAGACAGACAGACAGACAGACAGAGTGCACAGTCAAACAGGACCATGGCAGGAGGCTCCACCAGGATCCATGAGAACCTGCAAGACGAGAAAGCACAAGAACTCCGTGGAAGAAGTGAAGTTAGTAACATGCATTAATGGGAAATGAATGAGTGCAGAAAGAGTGAGGAAGAGATTAACAGAGTAAATAGATAACACAATAGAAGCACAATAGAAAGATGAAGTACACATTAGAAAAATAAAAGCAATAAAATAAATAAGTAAAACAAATAAAACAAACAAAATGCACTGCCCGCACATGATAAAATATGCATGTATACACATAAAATCAACGCTCTACATGGTGTCAAAAGCCAAAGAAAAAAGGTGGGTTTTAAGAAGAGTTTTAAAATGAGACAGAGAGGAGGCCTGTCTAATGTGCAGTGGCAATCCATTCCAAAGTTTGGGAGCCGCAACGGCAAATGCTCGATCCCCTCTGAGCTTAAGCCTAGCTTTAGGCACTGTCAGGAGCAGCTGGTCAGCTGACCTGAGAGATCGCCTGGGAGTGTAGGGGTGCAGCAGCTCAGAGAGGTAAGATAGGGCAAGGCCATTCAAGGCTTTAAAAGCAAATAAAAGAATTTAAAAATGAATCCTAAAATGTCACAGAAGTGCCACCAAAGACTTCTGTCTTTTCTTCATTAAAATTCAGAAAATTTAAAGACATCCAAGCTTTAAGGTTGTGTAAACACTTAAGCAGTGGGTCAACAGAGAAGGAATCAGACTTTTTGAGGGGGACATAGATCTGGCTGTCATCCGCATAGCAGTAAAAAGAAATGCCATGTTTCCTGACAATGGAACCAAGTGGGAGTAGATAGAGAGAAAATAAAAGAGGCCAAGCACAGAGCCCTGTGGGACCCCACATGAGAGAGGAGCAACACAAAGTCACCAAGGCTGACACAGAAAGTTCGATCAGCCAAGTATGACCTGAACCACTCCAGAGCTATGCCCCTGATGCCCACCCACTGCTTCAAACGTGAGATCAATATTTCATGATCCACTGTGTAAAATGCAGCAGTTAAATCTAAAAGCACAAGGATAACACAGTCACCAGAGTCAGTAGCTAAAAAGATGTCATTAAAAACTCTTAAAAGAGCTGATTCGGTGCTGTGCAGGGTTTTAAAACCGGATTGGAAAACCTCTAGACACTAACCTGTAAATAGTTGCTGTTGCAGTAGTCAGCCACATTCAGGAGGTTGTCGTAATTTTCCAGAAGAGCTTTTCTGGCGTTCGGAGCTTCCTCCAGAATCTTCATCACTTCCTCTTTAAAGTTCTGCTCCTTCATCTCTGATCACACAGTGAAGGTAATCAATATTATAATCTGATCATACAGTGAAGGTTGTCAATATGATTATTATCTGATCACTACAGTGACGTGACACACTGTAACCTGATTGTCACACACTGTAAGACTGACACACTGTAACTGACACACTGTAACTGACACACTGTAACTGACACACTGAAACTGACACACGTAAACAATATAATGAAATAACGACACACTGTAACTGACACACTGTAACACAGTAACTGACACACTGTAACACTGACACACTGTAACTGACACACTGTAACTGACACACTGTAACACTGACACACTGTAACTGACACACTGTAACTGACACACTGTAACCGACACACAGAACTGACACACTGTAACACCTGACACACTGTAACCCCACTGACACACTGTAACTGACACACTGTAACTGACACACTGTAACTGACACACTGTAACACTGACACACTGTAACTGACACATTGTAACTGACACACTGTAACTGACACACTGTAACTGACACATTGTAACACTGACACACTGTAACACTGACACACTGTAACTGACACACTGTAACTGACACACTGTAACACTGACACACTGTAACTGACACACTGTAACACTGACACACTGTAACACTGACACACTGTAACACTGACACACTGTAACACTGACACACTGTAACTGACACACTGTAACTGACACACTGTAACACTGACACACTGTAACTGACACACTGTAACACTGACACACTGTAACTGACACACTGTAACACTGACACACTGTAACACTGACACACTGTAACTGACACACTGTAACACTGACACACTGTAACACTGACACACTGTAACTGACACACTGTAACTGACACACTGTAACACTGACACACTGTAACTGACACACAGTAACTGACACACTGTAACTGACACATTGTAACACTGACACACTGTAACACTGACACACTGTAACTGACACACTGTAACTGACACACTGTAACACTGACACACTGTAACACTGACACACTGTAACTGACACACTGTAACACTGACACACTGTAACTGACACACTGTAACACTGACACACTGTAACACAACAACACTGTAACTGACACACTGTAACTGACACACTGTAACACTGACACACTGAAACACCGTAACATGACACACTGTAACTGACACATTGTAACACTGACACACTGTAACACTGACACACTGTAACTGACACACTGTAACACTGACACACTGTAACTGACACACTGTAACACTGCACATTAATGACACACTGTAACTGACACACTAACATGACACATGTAACTGACACACTGTAACGACACACTGTAACTACACACGAAACACTGTAACTACACACGTAACTGACACAGAACAAATAATACACACTGTAACTGACACACTGTAACTGACACACTGTAACTGACACATGTAACACTACACACTGTAACTGACCTAACACTGACACACTGTAACGACACACTGACTGACACATTGTAACACTGACACACTGTAACACCACTGTAACCTGACACACTGTAACTGACACACTGTAACACTGACACACTGTAACTGACACACTGTAATGACACACTGTAACACTGACACACTGTACTGACACACTTAACGACACACTAACATGACACACGAACACTGACACACTGTAACTGACACACTGTAACACTGACACACTGTAACTGACACACTGTAACACTGACACACTGAACCTGACACATGTAACACTGACACCTGTAACACTGACACACTGTAACTGACACACTGTAACTGACACACTGTAACACACTGTAACTGACACACTGTAACACTACACACTGTAACTAACACTGTAACTGACACCCTGTAACACTGACACATTGTAACTGACACACTGTAACACTGACACACTGTAACTGACACACTGTAACTGACACACTGTAACACTGACACACTTAACGACACCTGTTCCTCACTGTAAAGAAATAAGCGCCATTTTGCAGAAGTTCTTTTACTTTGAAACTTTCAACCCTTTTAGAATGAGAATTTAACTAATGGTGTTTTTACAGTGTAGCATTAATACTGTGGTAGTTAAAGTAGTGCTGAGATCAGTTTATCGATCAGCTGTCTGTCTCACATCCACCTGCATAACTAATGTGTTTAAGATCCTGCACAGGCGCGTTGTTATCTAATTAAGGTCAATTAAAGATGAGAGCGGAAGAGAGTGAACTTTAAAACTCACCAAACAGAAGATAATCCGCACACGGTGGAGCTCTGCCTGCCTGCCTGTCTGTCTGTCTCTCTGTCTGTCTGTCTGTCTGCCTCAGTGTGTGTCAGGTTGTCGGTTTGAGTCCCATCAGTCGGTCATCCACCTGCAGCTCGCGCTTCCTCTCCAGTGGAGCGGCTTGTTGCAACCAAAGATCTTCTCTGCAGCTGCAGAGCTCTCACTCCTCAGGAATACTGAAACAAAGACTACCTTCACCGCCACCAGAGGGCGCAATGCACCAGCAGCTCTGACCCAAACAGTGGGTCTGGAATCTTTTCAAGGACCCTGGAATCTCTTGAAGAACATGAAAGAATCACAATAAACGAGTTTCCAGGATGAAAAATATAAGAGGACAGAAGGTTCCAAGGACTTCAAGGATCCCTTTCATGTATCTGTAGAAACCTTTAAAGCACCCTGGAAGTCGTTGAATGAGTCTCCATAGATACGTTCAGAGTGAGACCTCCTGTCTGTGTGTCCTCCTGTCTGTGTGTCCTCCTGATTGTGTGTGAACCTACTCCACTTCCTGTTTCACGTCAGAGAAAGTTCAGCAGTGGAAACTGACTCAGAGTCAGTTTCACTTCTGACAGAAAGCTCGTGTTCAGGCCTCTTAATAATCCTTCATATACAAACATATATATCAATATCTATATATCTATATCTATATATTAATATCAGTATCTATATATAGATATATCTATATCTATATATTAATATCAATATCTATATATAGATATATCTATATCTATATATTAATATCAGTATCTATATATAGATATATCTATATCTATATATTAATATCAGTATCTATATATAGATATATCTATATCTATATATTAATATCAATATCTATATATAGATATATCTATATCTATATATTAATATCAATATCTATATATAGATATATTGATAAAATCTATATCAGAATCAGAATCAGAAATACTTTAACAATCCCAGGGGGAAACTACTTTCGTACATACAACATATCATATTATTATATTATTAAGAACATATATATATATATATATATTTATACAAGGTAAAGTGTAAAATGTAGAGTTTTGAAAATGTGCAAGAAAGAAGAAAGTGCAGAAGTGGTTGTCTGTGTTTGAGGTCAGATTACAGAGGGGGGGTGTCTGACTCTCTGAGGGAGGCGTTGTAGAGTTTGATGACCACAGGCAGGAATGATTTCCTGTGGCGCTCTGTGGTGTATCTGGGTGAGAGGAGTCTTCTGCTGAAGGTGCTCCTCTGCTGGGCCAGTGTGTCGTAGAGAGGGTGAGAGACATTGTCCAAGATGGACTGAAGCCTGGACAGCATCCTCCTCTCTGCCACAATCGTCAGGGTGTCCAGCTCCTCCCCTACGACATCACCGGCCCTCCTGATCAGTTTGTTTAGTCTGTTGTTATCAGCGACCCTCAGCCCACTGCCCCAGCATGGGACAGTGAAGAAGATCGTACTGGCCACAACAGACTCATAGAACATCCTCAGCATCGTCCGGCAGATGTTAAAGGACCTCAGCCTCCTTAGGAAAAAGAGTCGGCTTTGGCCCTTTTTGTAGACCGCCTCGGTGTTTCTGGTCCAGTCCAACTTATTATTAAAGTACACCCCCAGGTACTTATACTCCTCCACAGTGTCCACAGGGACCCCCTGGATGGAAACAGGGGTCACTGGTGTTTTCACCCTCCTCAGATCCACTATGAGCTCCTTAGTCTTTGTCCCGATATATAGATATAGATATAGATATAGATAGTATATAACGTACAGCCTTGAGATATTGATCTCTACTGACTGAATATTAATGACTTTCAAAGTAAGAGAGCAATAACAGGAAGACGAGGAATAAAATATCAAACGGTTTTATTTCTTTTCTTATTTCAACGTTTCATATTTGTTTTATTTAAAGTGATCAATATGTGTGATCAGTTAAAACCTCGTATCTCCAGATCAAAAACAACAACAGTTCCACCATACGAGGTTCTCATCAGCTCAAACTGCTCCTGGTTGCTCGGGGCGACCAGCCATCACTGGTTGCTCAGGGCGACGGGGTTCCAGGGTTGTCTCCGGGGAGCTCCGTCTTTGTCCTTCCTCTCCAGAGGCTTCAGGTGAGACGACAGGACCAGGTCCCTGACAGAGACAGACACAGGTAAGACACAGCCTGGAACTCATTCCAGGAATCCTCTTAAGGCCCCTAAAGTCTTTCAAGGTCCCTAAAATATCCTGGAACTCATACAAGGACCTAGGCAACGTATTGAAATATTAATAAAGGACCACAGGACTGATCTGGAAGAGTTTCCAGGACCTGGAGTTACCTGAACTGGCTGTAGGTCTGACCTTGGAGAGTTTCCAGGACCTGGAGTTACCTGAACTGGCTGTAGGACTGATCTGGAAGAGTTTCCAGGACCTGGAGTTACCTGAACTGGCTGTAGGACTGACCTTGGAGAGTTTCCAGGACCTGGAGTTACCTGAACTGGCTGTAGGACTGATCTGGAAGGGTTTCCAGGACCTGGAGTTACCTGAACTGGCTCTAGGTCTGACCTTGAAGAGTTTCCAGGACCTGGAGTTACCTGAACTGGCTGTAGGTCTGATCTGGAAGAGTTTCAGGACCGGAGTTACCTGAACTGGCTGTAGGTCTGATCTGGAAGAGTTTCCAGGACCTGGAGTTACCTGAACTGGCTGTAGGACTGATCTGGAAGAGTTTCCAGGACCTGGAGTTACCTGAACTGGCTGTAGGTCTGACCTGGAAGAGTTTCCAGGACCTGGAGTTACCTGAACTGGCTGTAGGTCTGATCTGGAAGAGTTTCCAGGACCTGGAGTTACCTGAACTGGCTGTAGGTCTGACCTTGGAGAGTTTCCAGGACCTGGAGTTACCTGAACTGGCTGTAGGACTGATCTGGAAGAGTTTCCAGGACCTGGAGTTACCTGAACTGGCTGTAGGTCTGACCTTGAAGAGTTTCCAGGACCTGGAGTTACCTGAACTGGCTGTAGGACTGATCTGGAAGAGTTTCCAGGACCTGGAGTTACCTGAACTGGCTCTAGGTCTGACCTTGAAGAGTTTCCAGGACCTGGAGTTACCTGAACTGGCTGTAGGACTGATCTGGAAGAGTTTCCAGGACCTGGAGTTACCTGAACTGGCTGTAGGACTGATCTGGAAGAGTTTCCAGGACCTGGAGTTACCTGAACTGGCTGTAGGTCTGATCTGGAAGAGTTTCCAGGACCTGGAGTTACCTGAACTGGCTGTAGGTCTGATCTGGAAGAGTTTCCAGGACCTGGAGTTACCTGAACTGGCTGTAGGACTGATCTGGAAGAGTTTCCAGGACCTGGAGTTACCTGAACTGGCTGTAGGTCTGACCTTGGAGAGTTTCCAGGACCTGGAGTTACCTGAACTGGCTGTAGGTCTGATCTGGAAGAGTTTCCAGGACCTGGAGTTACCTGAACTGGCTGTAGGTCTGATCTGGAAGAGTTTCCAGGACCTGGAGTTACCTGAACTGGCTGTAGGACTGATTGGAAGAATTTCCAGGACCTGGAGTTACCTGAACTGGCTGTAGGTCTGACCTTGGAGAGTTTCCAGGACCTGGAGTTACCTGAACTGGCTGTAGGACTGATCTGGAAGAGTTTCCAGGACCTGGAGTTACCTGAATTGGCTGTAGGACTGACATTGGAGAGTTTCCAGGACCTGGAGTTACCTGAACTGGCTGTAGGACTGATCTGGAAGGGTTTCCAGGACCTGGAGTTACCTGAACTGGCTGTAGGACTGACCTTGGAGAGTTTCCAGGACCTGGAGTTACCTGAACTGGCTGTAGGACTGACCTTGGAGAGTTTCCAGGACCTGGAGTTACCTGAACTGGCTGTAGGACTGATCTGGAAGAGTTTCCAGGACCTGGAGTTACCTGAACTGGCTGTAGGACTGATCTGGAAGAGTTTCCAGGACCTGGAGTTACCCGAATTGGCTGTAGGACTGACCTTGGAGAGTTTCCAGGACCTGGAGTTACCTGAACTGGCTGTAGGACTGATCTGGAAGGGTTTCCAGGACCTGGAGTTACCTGAACTGGCTGTAGGACTGACCTTGGAGAGTTTCCAGGACCTGGAGTTACCTGAACTGGCTGTAGGACTGACCTTGGAGAGTTTCCAGGACCTGGAGTTACCTGAACTGGCTGTAGGACTGATCTGGAAGAGTTTCCAGGACCTGGAGTTACCTGAACTGGCTGTAGGACTGATCTGGAAGAGTTTCCAGGACCTGGAGTTACCTGAACTGGCTGTAGGTCTGATCTGGAAGAGTTTCCAGGACCTGGAGTTACCTGAACTGGCTGTAGGTCTGATCTGGAAGAGTTTCCAGGACCTGGAGTTACCTGAACTGGCTGTAGGACTGATCTGGAAGAGTTTCCAGGACCTGGAGTTACCTGAACTGGCTGTAGGTCTGACCTTGGAGAGTTTCCAGGACCTGGAGTTACCTGAACTGGCTGTAGGACTGATCTGGAAGAGTTTCCAGGACCTGGAGTTACCTGAATTGGCTGTAGGACTGACCTTGGAGAGTTTCCAGGACCTGGAGTTACCTGAACTGGCTGTAGGACTGATCTGGAAGGGTTTCCAGGACCTGGAGTTACCTGAACTGGCTGTAGGACTGACCTTGGAGAGTTTCCAGGACCTGGAGTTACCTGAACTGGCTGTAGGACTGACCTTGGAGAGTTTCCAGGACCTGGAGTTACCTGAACTGGCTGTAGGACTGATCTGGAAGAGTTTCCAGGACCTGGAGTTACCGATTGGCTGTAGGACGACCTGGAGAGTTTCCAGGACCGGAGTTACCGAACTGGCTGTAGGACGATCTGGAAGGGTTTCCAGGACCTGGAGTTACCTGAACTGGCTGTAGGACTACCTGAGAGTTTCCAGGACCGGAGTTACCTGAACTGGCTTAGGACGACCTTGGAGAGTTTCCAGGACCGGAGTTACCGAACTGGCTGTAGGACTGATCTGGAAGAGTTTCCAGGACCTGGAGTTACCTGAACTGGCTATAGGACTGATCTGGAAGAGTTTCCAGGACCTGGAGTTACCTGAACTGGCTGTAGGACTGATCTGGAAGAGTTTCCAGGACCTGGAGTTACCTGAACTGGCTGTAGGACTGATCTGGAAGAGTTTCCAGGACCTGGAGTTACCTGAACTGGCTGTAGGTCGACCTGGAGAGTTTCCAGGACCGGAGTTACCGAACTGGCTGTAGGACTGATCTGGAAGAGTTTCCAGGACCTGGAGTTACCTGAATTGGCTGTAGGACTGACCTTGGAGAGTTTCCAGGACCTGGAGTTACCTGAACTGGCTGTAGGACTGATCTGGAAGGGTTTCCAGGACCTGGAGTTACCTGAACTGGCTGTAGGACTGACCTTGGAGAGTTTCCAGGACCTGGAGTTACCTGAACTGGCTGTAGGACTGACCTTGGAGAGTTTCCAGGACCTGGAGTTACCTGAACTGGCTGTAGGACTGATCTGGAAGAGTTTCCAGGACCTGGAGTTACCTGAACTGGCTGTAGGACTGACCTTGGAGAGTTTCCAGGACCTGGAGTTACCTGAACTGGCTGTAGGACTGATCTGGAAGAGTTTCCAGGACCTGGAGTTACCTGAACTGGCTGTAGGTGACTCTCTGGCCGACCGCCCTCAGTTTGGCCTCGTTCTCTCTCTCGTATCTCCGCTCAGACTCGATCGCCCCCTGAAGCTCTCTCTCCAGGGCAGAGAAATCAATGACATCATCACGCCTCGCCATCACCTGATGATGTCACACAGGTAGTTTTTTATTGAAGGTAAGTCGCAATCAAACAGGAAGTCTAATCAATTTCTGCTTTCCCTCTCACCTTATTGATCGATTGATTATTTATATTATCTGTTTAAAAGTTTGATTTTCTGATTGTTAATCAATACTTTGATCAGTTTCTACTTTTATAATCTCAGTCATTGATCAGAGAACGTTTACTGTATTGATCAGAGAACGTTTACTGTACTGATCAGAGAACGTTTACTGTATTGATCAGAGAACTTTTACTGTATTGATCAGAGAACGTTTACTGTACTGATCAGAGAACGTTTACTGTATTGATCAGAGAACGTTTACTGTATTGATCAGAGAACGTTTACTGTATTGATCGAAGTACTTCTGCTCCTTTACAAACATTAACAACCGTCATTGAACGCATCTCCGCTAACAACGTCTTTATTTAGGCTAACATGCTAACGTTAGCAGCCTTCAATCCAAACCACACTGAGCTAATTAAACTTTATCGATTCATTAATTAAGAGTATTTATATTAACGTAGTGTCTTTGAACGCAGCTCAGCGGCTAACGCTAGCTCCCGGGCTAACCTCACAGTCATTAGCCGTTAGCTTCAGGCTAACGGCAGCTAACAGGTGAAACATCGTACCTGCAGTAGCTTTAGCTCCTCGTGCTCTTTGTGTTCAGGTGTGTTCAGGTGAGTTCAGGCTCCTCGCGGGTTATAAACGACAAACCGTCTCTATGACGACGGGTCGCGGGACGGCGCCTGCGCACTGGCTGATCCAGAGCGACTTTTCAGAATAAAAGTCTGACTGATGTTGATCCAGTGAAAACACATTAATTCATGAGTTCAGTTTATGATTCTTTAACTGCTATGGCTGTACTGACACTGTGAGTGAAATAAACTTTAATCTACTTTAACAAATAAAACCAATGAGCAGAAATAGTTTCAGTGTTTCCCTCAGCGACAGATAATCAATAATGAGATCATTAGGATCCACTCTGGAAGAGGAAAAGGATGTAAGAAGATGAAGAACCAGAGAGGTCTCCATGTGCAGCTGGTAAGACACAGGCGAGGTCATGTGACTTCAGGTGACATCAGAAGGCATAGAGAGGGGGCGGAGCCTGCAGGTGATCCAGGTACATAAAGACTAAATGAAAGTGCAGGTCAGATCCAGAACCAGCGAGCAGGACGGCTGAGAGTCGGTGAGTGTTTTAATCCGTGAACAGAAAATAGAAATGAATTATAGAAAGTGAAGTTGTTTGTGTTTCTGCCAGTCAACAGTCACATATTGACTTTTATCTCTACGTTGATTGTTGAAATCTTTATTTCATTTGATTTGCTGTGTAATGTTTGCTTTTATATTCTGTCCCTGTACTATTGGGTCTGTTGGGTCTCTGTAATTAATGTTAAAGAGTTCGGTCTAGACCTGCTCTATTTGAAAAGTGTCCTGAGATAACTTCTGTTATGAATTGGTGCTATACAAATAAAATTGAATTGAATTGAATTGAAAAAATTGAATGTTGCAGGTGGTGTCCAGAAAACGATGTGGGCTTCATTGATAAGCCTTTTTGGGGAAAACCTGGTCTGATTAGGAGAGACGGCATCCATCTCACTTTGGATGGAGCGGCTCTCTTATCTAGAAATATGGCAAAGTTTATTTCTAAAACCTGACAGTCCAGAGTTAGGACCAGGAAGCAGAGCTGCTGTCTTACACACTTCTCTGCTCTTCTACTAGTAAAGTCACCCATTCAAAACCCCATAGAGACTGTGTCTGTCCCCCGACCACCTAAATTATTTAAAGAAATAAAAACAAGAGGAGTTCAACATAAAAATCTAATAAAAATTAAAACCAACTCCTCAGTAGCACAAAATAAGAGAATGAAATGTGGGCTGTTAAATATCAGGTCTCTGTCCTCTAAAGCTGTTTTAGTGAATGAATTAATATCAGATTATGATATTGATTTACTTTGTCTTACTGAGACCTGGTTGTCCCACGAGGAGTATGTTAGCCTAAATGAATCCACCCCCCCAGTCATATTAATACTCACATTCCTCGAGGCACAGGCCGAGGAGGTGGAGTGGCAGCCATATATGATTCGAGCGTTTTAATGGACCCTAAACCTAAACTAAATTATAATTCATTTGAAAGCCTTGTTCTTAGTCTTTCTCACCCAAACTGGAAAACACTGCAGCCAGTTCTATTTGTTATAGTGTACCGTGCTCCTGGACCGTACTCTGATTTTATATCTGAATTTTCAGAGTTTCTATCAAGTTTAGTCCTTAAATCAGATAAAGTAATTATTGTAGGTGATTTTAATATTCATGTGGATGTTGACAATGACAGTCTTAGTAACGCATTTATATCATTAATAGACTCAATTGGCTTCTGTCAGAGTGTAAATAAACCAACTCATTGTTTTAATCACACTCTTGACCTTGTTTTATCATATGGCATTGATATTGAACATTTAATAGTCTTCCCACATAATCCTTTCCTATCTGACCATTATTTAATAACTTTTGAATTCATACTATTAGATTATAAGCCATTAGGCAAAACTTCCTACAGCAGATGTCTATCTGACAGTGCTGTAGCTAAATTTAAGGAGGAGATTCCTTCAGTGTTTAATTCAATGCCATGTCTGAATTTAACAGAGTCCTATAACGACTTTAGTCCCTCTGAAATTGATAATCTTGTCGATAGTGCTACAGGCTCACTACGATCAACATTAGACTCTATCGCTCCAATAAAAGGAAATTATTAAAACATAGGAGACTAGCACATTGGTATAACCACCAAACCCGCCAGTTAAAACAAATAGCTAGGAAGTCTGAAAGGAAATGGCGCTCTTCCAAATTATCAGAATATCACTCAAATTGGCAAGATAATCTTAAAACTTATAGAAAGGCCCTCCGTAATGCCAGAGGAGCCTATTACTCAGCACTAATAGAAGAAAATAAGAATAACCCTAGGTTCCTCTTCAGCACTGTAGCCAGGCTGACAGAGAGTCACAGCTCTATTGAGCCACATATCCCCATAAACTTAAGTAGCAATGACTTCATGAGCTTCTTCTATAATAAAATTATTACTATTAGAGAGAAAATTAATCACCAACTGCCATCAACAGTTATCACTGGCTCTCCAAGTTTAGGAACTTAAAATAATGTAAACTTAGATATATATTTAGAATGTTTTTCTGCTATTGATCTTCATCAGTTAACTTCAATAATTTCTTCATCGAAGCCATCAACCTGTCTATTAGATTCGATCCCAACTAGGCTGCTTAAAGAAGTTGTTCCCTTAATTGGCACTTCTTTACTGGATATGATTAATCTTTCTTTATTATCAGGATGTGTACCACAGTCCTTTAAAGTAGCTGTAATTAAACCCCTTCTTAAAAAGCCCACTCGGACCCAGGGGTTTTAGCCAATTATAGACCGATCTCTAACCTCCCCTTCCTCTCTAAGATTCTGGAGAAAGTAGTCGCCAAAGAGTTGTGTGACTTTCTACATAACAATAGTTTATTTGAGGATTTTCAGTCAGGATTTAGAGTTCATCACAGCACAGAGACAGCTCTGGTTAAAGTTAATAATGACCTTCTGATTGCTTCTGACAATGGACTTGTCTCTGTACTTGTATTATTAGATCTTAGTGCTGCATTTGACACCATTGACCATATTCTTTTACAGAGACTTGAGCATCTTCTTGAATCTTCAATAAATACTACAGTTAGTCATGGAGTTCCACAAGGTTCTGTACTTGGACCAATATTATTTACTTTATATATGCTCCCTTTAGGCAACATTATGAGGAATCACTCCATTAACTTTCACTGTTATGCAGATGATACGCAGTTATATCAATCAATCAAGCCTGATGAAATTAATCAATTATCTAAATTACAAACATGTCTTAAGGACATAAAATCCTGGATGACCTGCAATTTTCTGATGTTAAACTCAGAAAAAAACGAAATTCTTGTTCTTGGCCCCAAAAACCTTAGAGACTCACTGTCTAAAGATATAGTTACTCTAGATGGCATTACCTTGGCCTCTAGCACCACTGTGAGAAATCTTGGAGTTATCTTTGATCAGGATTTGTCATTTAACTCCCACATAAAGCAAACCTCCAGGACTGCCTACTTTGATTTACGTTATATTACAAAAATTAGACAAATCCTATCACAGACAGATGCATAAAAACTAATCCATGCATTTGTTACTTCAGGGCTGGATTACTGCAACTCTTTATTATCAGGTTGCCCCAATAAGTCCATTAAAACGCTCCAATTAATTCAGAACGCTGCAGCACGAGTACTGACAGGAACTAGAAAAAGAGATCACATCTCTCCTATACTAGCTTCTCTGCATTGGCTCCCTGTAAAATGTAGAATAGAATTTAAAATCCTCCTCCTCACCTATAAAGCTCTTCATGGTCAGGCCCCTTCATATCTTAAAGAGCTCATAGTACCCTATTACCCCTCTAGAACACTACGTTCTCTGAATGCTGGGCTACTTGTGGTTCCTATAGTATCTAAAAGTAGAACAGGAGCCAGAGCCTTCAGTTACCAAGCTCCTCTCCTGTGGAACCAGCTTTCAGCTGTGGTTCGGGAGGCAGACACCCTCACCACATTCAAGAGTAGGCTTAAGACGTTCCTCTTTGATAAAGCTTATAGTTAGGGCTGGATCAGGTGAGTCCTGAACCATCCCTTAGTTATGCTGCTATAGGCCTAGACTATTGGGGGATTTCCCATGGTGCACTGAGCTCCTCTCTTCCTCTCTCTTTCTGCACTCATTCATGTCCCATTAATGCATGTTACTAACTTCACTTCTTCCCCGGAGTTCTTGTGCTTTCTCGTCTCGCAGGTTCTTATCGATCCTGGTGGAGCCTCCTGCCATCGTCCTGCTAGATTGCCATTGTCAGTACTGTTGTTGCTGTGCACCTGTCTGTCTGTCTGTCTGTCTGTCTGTCTGTCTGTCTGTCTCTCTCTCTCTCTCTCTCTCTCTCTCTCTCTCTCCCCTCACCCCAACTGGTCGAGACAGACGACCACCCACCTAGAGCCGAAGGATCTGTCCTAGGTTTCTGCCTTTTAACAGGCAGTTTTTCCTTGCCCTTGTCGCCAAGTGCTTGCTCATGGTGGTACTGTTGGGTCTCTGTAAATAATGTTATAAAGAATTCGGTCTAGACCTGCTCTATTTGAAAAGTGTCCTGAGATAACTTCTGTTATGAATTGGCGCTATACAAATAAAATTGAAATTGAAATTGAAATGAATCTTTCTTTATTATCAGGATATGTACCACAGTCCTTTAAAGTAGCTGTAATTAAACCCCTTCTTAATAGGCCCACTCTTGACCCACAGGTTTTAGCCAACTATAGACCTATTTCTAACCTTCCCTTCCTCTCTAAGATTCTGGAGAAAGTAGTTGCCAAAGAGTTGTGTGACTTTCTACGTAACAATAGTTTATTTGAGGATTTTCAGTCAGGATTTAGAGTTCATCATAGCACAGAGACAGCTCTGGTTAAAGTTAAAAATGACCTTATGATTGCTTCTGACAATGGACTTGTTTCTGTACTTGTATTATTGGATCTTAGTGCTGCATTTGACACCATTGACCATGATATTCTTTTACAGAGACTTGAGCATCAAATTGGCATTAAAGGAACCACCCTAAGCTGGTTTAAGTCATATTTATCAGATTGTTCTCAGTTTGTACATATTAACGATGAATCTTCAATAAATACTAAAGTTAGTCATAGAGTTCCACAAGTTTCTGTATTTGGACCAATACTATTACTTATTATTACAAACATGTCTGAAGGACATAAAATCCTGGATGAGCTGCAATTTTCTGATGTTAAACTAAAAAAAAAAAATTCTTCTACTTGGCCCCAAAAACCTTAGAGACTCACTGTCTAAAGATATAGTTACTCTAGATGGCATTACCTTGGCCTCTAGCACCACTGTCAGGAATCTTGGAGTTATCTTTGATCAGGACATGTCATTTAATTCCCACATAAAGCAAACCTTTCATTCAATTCTATTTGTATAGTGCCAATTCATTACAGAAGTTATCTCAGGACACCTTTCAAATAGAGCAGGTCTATACCGAACTCTTTATAACATTATTTACAGAGACCCAACAGTACCACCATGAGCAAGCACTTGGCGACAAGGGCAAGGAAAAACTGCCTGTTAAAAGGCAGAAACCTAGGACAGATCCTTCGGCTCTAGGTGGGTGGTCGTCTGTCTCGGATGGTTCAGGACTCACCTGATCCAGCCCTAACTATAAGCTTTATCAAAGAGGAACGTCTTAAGCCTACTCTTGAATGTGGAGAGGGTGTCTGCCTCCCGAACCACAACTGGAAGCTGGTTCCACAGGAGAGGAGCTTGGTAACTGAAGGCTCTGGCTCCTGTTCTACTTTTAGAGACAATAGGAACCACAAGTAGCCCTGCATTCAGAGGCTTGATTGATATCAATGGAGGGATTCCTAATATTGTTGCCTAAGGGAAGCATATATATGGTGAATAGAATTGGTCCAAGCACAGAACCTTGTAGAACTCCATGACTAACTTTAGTGTGCATGGAGGATAGAACTCAATCCAACTCAATTTTAAGGAAAAGCTGTGAACCAGAGACAGGGTCATGGGGGGCCAAGGCTCATTGATGCAGGTGGGGAGTGAAGACTGGTGTGTGGTCCGATCCAACAGACGAGCTACTGTAGTTCAAACTGCTGAAACAGTTAATGCTGGTTCTGATAGAAAGGGGTCAGAACACATAGTGCAGAGCAGTCTGTTGGTCTGTGGCTGCATAACATTCTGACAACCAGGGTGCCCAGTTGTTCAGAATGTTATGGCTGATCAGTATATATAGCAGCTCTCATACAAACATGCAGCCCAAAGTGCTTCACATAGCAAATTCATCGCTAACATATACAAACTGAGATTGATCTAGTGCGTACCTGATGTACTCTGCTCTATTTGAACTCTAAATCATGACTGAAAATCCTCACATAAACTGACATGTCAGGGTGCTGTGATTCACATGTCCACTAATCACAAGGGTGTTTGTTCGATCCCTGGCTCTTCCAGCAGCATGTGGAAGTATCCTTGAGCAAGACACTGAACCCCAAATTGCTCCCTATGCTGCGTCATCGGTGTGTGATTGAATGAGTTTATCCATCACTGTGTGAAAGGGTGAATGTGGCATGTGGTGTAAAAGTGTTTTGAGTGGTCGGAAGACTAGAAAGGCGCTATACAAGTACAGTCCATTTACCATTCAGTCTGAATATCAGCATTCAGACCAGGACCAATACATCTCCTACAGCAACCTAACAATAATGACGTCAGTTCAAATTTATGGAGGATCATTTTGGTTGTTTTTAAAATACGTTTGAATCATTTTAATGATCCAATGAGGACGTTCATGTGAGCAGCCTGTCATTAGTTCTGATCGGGGTCTGCAACATGGAGCCCGAGGGAAGCTGGTAGCTCACAGAACATGTTCTCTAATCTCTATCTGAAATATATTTTTCATAACACAAATGGGTTTAAACATTTAAATACATTACTGATATGTTTTATTAATTAAAAGCACTCACTCTCAAAAAGGTGAAAGTGAAAGTAAACGTCCCTTTAAAGTGACAATGAAGTTAACTTACCTTTTTCAAAAGTAGGATCAACGTGTCAGATTTTACAGTGTGCTGGAAACATATAAACAATATAAAGGATGATATTGTGTGAATTAAATGACTTTAAAATTCTTCAATCAGATTTTTTTGGGGCGGCTGTGGCTCAGAGGTAGAGCGGGTTATCCACTAATTGGAAGGTTGTTGGTTCAGTCCCCATCTCCTCTAGTTGCATGTCGAAGTGTCCTTGAGCAAGACTCTGAACCCCGGAGTATAAGTGTCTATGAATGATTAATTTACGTTCTGGTGAGCAGTTGACATGGCAGCCATTGCCATCAGTGTATGGGAATGTATTGGAAGACTAGAAAGTCGCTATATAAGTACATTACCATTAACTCCATTAGATAATAATAATAATCAACTTCATTTCTAAAGCGTCTCTCAAAAGCAGAGTTACAAGGACCTTCACAAAACACCATCCAACACAATATGTGCAGAGACAGCATATAAAACCAAACATTACCTTACCTCGCCTGTGTCTTATCTGTGACCAGTTCTGTAAATGTAATGTTTCATTTATTACTTCTTATTCTTTTCATTGTGTCATAAAACAATCAAACACACATTTGGATGGAAACCAGCTACAGAGATATTCAAACTATTTCTGCTTATTTATTTCATTTTAAAAAGCATGTTTCCAGAGTTTTATAGTATTAAGATGAGGAAAATAAGATTTTCTTAAACATTCGTTTTATATCACATCAACATTAGATTAGATTCACCTTTATTGTCATTACACACAGTGCCAGTACAAGGGAATCCAGTTTAGAGTCTCACAGACAGACAGTGGCAGAAATGCACTTAAAGAACAATATATGAAGCTAATGTAGAGCATTAACAGTCATATTATGAATTTAAAGACTCAGTGGGCTAACTGGGATTAATGGTGCATGGCAGAGTAACATAATCAGGACTGATTAATGATGTTTCACAGTTCAGTCGATGCACACCTGAACCTTCATGACAGGTGTGTCATTGTCTGACATGGTGGCTCTGACAGTAACAGTTTCACCTTTGTAAATCAGACTGAGGTCTTTAGCTTGACCTCGGACAAACTTTGTCTGCGGTTTGTTATACATCTCATCAAAAAGGCTGTAATCACACTTTGTATCCATGTCAAAGATTCCCACTGCAAACCAGTTAGAGTACAGGTTGAAGTCATAAGGATTAGAGAACATGATGGCCAGTTTTCCATCACTTCGGTGGCTGGCTTCATCATGCAGATCGTAGGTCAGGACTCCAACAGATCCACAGGCTGTGTTAGGAGTCTTGATGAACAGGAAGCTGCCAGATTCAGAGGGACTGAGTGTTGGAGGAGGAGGTATAGCACAGGATCCACTGTTAATGTAGTCACTGGGGAAACAAATGTCTGAGTTAAACATCCTGCATACTGAGCCCTGGAGTGGCTACAGAAAGAAAAATATAGACATAGATATAGTTTCACTGCACTGAGCACATGAAATGCTAATGTGTGCACAGAAGATAAGTGTATGAACAGAGAGCAACGCAACAGAGCAGCCTTTATCCCCGATGGATGGATGAACTCCAGCTGCTTCAACTAGAACTGTATCGATAACTGAATGGAAACATGGGAATGAATATCAGCATATTGTGTGCTCATTGTAACGTGACTCCATAAGTTGACACTTTAACTTTGACACTGTGTGAATAGAGTTGATATCAGTTTCATACACTATACTATATCATTGCTCTTATCTAAATCTGGGCAAAGGAAACATGTATCCATCATATATGAAACAACACTGAGAGTAAAGGTCGTACTCACCAGGGGTTACACAGGGTGTACCCAGAGCACTTGTTCTCCAACTCAATGGTGCACTGGCGATGGGTTGACATTTTGTCTTCAGCCTGTAGAGGGAGACAGTGTTTGTATTGATTATAATGTCACATACAGTCAGACACAGAATTCAGACTTCATGTTTATGTGCATGAAGTGAATGTGAGCTGTTCCTCGGCTGTACAGAGTCTGTTCTGACTCACAGTGGAGGTTTCTGAAGACTGACAGGATCACCTGTTCCTCCCATTACTGAATGAGTAAACCAGCCTGATGAAGGAGTGACCTGTGAAAGCTCTAATCAACTTCCAAAAGCACTCCAGCAGTTTGTGTTCAGTCACTACAGAAATACTATCATCAACATATACTGAAAGAATCTAAAGTAACAGTACTCATGTACTATATTGATCAGTATGCACTGTATCTTTATGGATGATATTGATCGATCAGAATACACTGTATCTGTATGGATGATATTGATCAGAATACACTGTATCTGTATGGATGATATTGATCAGTATACACTGTATCTTTATGGATGATATTGATCAGTATACACTGTATCTTTATGGATGATATTGATCCTGTATTGACAGTCAGACTGTGGACATATGACGGCCTTTAGCTCGTGTTTCTAGAGTTACGTGTTGTTATGAACACGTTAGGAATTGTTAAAATGTGATATTTCTTAAAGGGAGTTTGGTGCAGGGAGCTTTTAGTTGGATTCAAACTGCTAATATGGATCATTGTTAACGTTTTGTCTACATCATAACCAGTCTCTGTCCCACTGTAACAGTCTCTGTCCCACAATAACAGTCTCTGTCCCATTATAACCAGTCTCTGTCCCACTGTAACAGTCTCTGTCCCACTATAACCAGTCTCTGTCCCACTGTAACAGTCTCTGTCCCACTATAACCAGTCTCTGTCCCACTGTAACAGTCTCTGTCCCACTATAACCAGTCTCTGTCCCACTATAACCAGTCTCTGTCCCACTGTAACAGTCTCTGTCTCACTATAACCAGTCTCTGTCCCACTATAACCAGTCCTCCAGTCTCTATCAGTTAACTGGGTCGGTGTAACACAAGAACAGTATTTGTGATAAAATCAGTAAAAGTAAACAGACCAATATTTAAAAATACTCTAACAAGTACACAAAGACTGTAGAGTACTGAGAGTAAAAGTACTTTGTTCTATGAGTAAGAGAACAATCAGTGGAACCGCAGTCAGTTTACATAAAGAGAACTTCTTACCTGTTCTGGAGTCAGTGGGATCAGACTGTCTTCAGTGAGTCGACTGAGACCAAACAGGAATCTGCATCAGACTGTGGCTGTCTGCTCTCTCCTCTTATGGGCCCAGAATCAACCCTGGCCCCCTCCCACCGGCCCCATCTGATAATGGAGGCCCCCGACTAAAGATTTTCCTATTCGACTCATTATTGAAGGTTTCTTATGTTACTGTATTGATTAGAATCTGTATATTTGTTTCTGATGTTACTGTATTTATTATAATCTGTATAATTGTTTCTGATGTTACTGTATTCATTAGAATCTGTCTGTTTGTTTCTGATATTACTGTATTTATTATAATCTGTATAATCTGTTAAACACTAACAGAAACAGTAGTAATGATTGTGAATCAGAACAAGCAGAAAAGAGACTGATCATTTAGTTAATTTATTCCATGAATATCACACAGTCTGTTTGTTCGACACACAGAATAAATAACTTCCATCTTCACTGAAACTAATCCTGAGTGATCGATACGATGGATGATGGATAATGTTGAAGGTCCATGTTACAACAATCCTCTGATACTTTGGTCCTGGTGACAAGGCAAAGCTCCTGAACATAGTTTAACGTTGGTTTTGTTTTTCAGACTAATGGAAAGTGTCCACTGAGACGGACGGTTGAGGCGACTATGAGGAGGCGGCACATTGAATGACTGGCTAGTCTTAGTGGAGATGATCCCACTGCAGACCACATACTAATAGCTGAGTTAACACATTTTTTATTTACATATGAACCAACAACCTTTCGATTAGTGGACGATCCACTCTGCCTCTGAGCCACAGCCGCCCACAAGTTACATATCGTAGCACAGTTTTTATTTACATGTTTAGTTATCACCTGTATACTCATGCATGTATTTAATACTCAAAATAATCAATGACAGTTTTTCTGCTGGTAATCTTCAGCAGAGGATACCACCATGTAATTCATGAGATGTATGGCACACCCACACACAGGAGTGGACATGACCCCTCGCCCAGCAGGAGAGGAATCGAGAACCGGTTTCACTTGAAACCTGGTTCTCGATTCATCAGAACTGTACAGTACAGATTTTATCACTTCCTTTTATCAACACCCATGTGATTTCTTAGAGTTGAACATTGCACAACAAGGTCAAAGATTCACAAAGAGAAACCAGTCCACTCTACAACTGAGTACAACACACTGTGGCCCACGAGGGCATGGACCAGACCAACTTTGAGGCCCTCATGTGTGAGTGTGTGGGGGGAGGGTTTGAATTGAGGATGTTGTGGTTTAATTTTTCCTTCCCAATGCACCTCAACTGATGTTTATCTATCTATATGCCTAATGTTTAGCTATCTGACTATAGTGAGAGACCACCCAGAATGGTGACACAGACTCAAAGAAAGCAAAGAGAATTGACCGTTTCACTCCATGTGTAGATTTATTTTCATCAACACAGGGTATAAGCAAACCGAGTTGTCTCGAGAATCAACTAACTAGAACAAATAAAGTCACTCTGTTATATTCCTCTTTCTCAAGGGTGTCTATTGGTGACGTCTAATGTCTGATAAGCAGTCAGAACACATCTGATGCCCTACTCTCCAGGAGACAACCTTGGTCTTTGTAATGTGCTTATGGCAAAATGAATAACAACTCTCCTAACTAGGGTGAGTCAACCAGAATGTGAATACATGAGGATGAACATACATGAACATAAAATATTATACTATAAGCCTGTAAAATTAAACATGGAATAACACACCATAATATAGCTTGCTTCATGTTTGCAGAACCTTATTCCTGAATTCATTTTCCATCAATCAGAATGTAAAGTACAGATTTGATCACTTCCTTTTATCAACGGCCATGTGATTTCTGAGAGTTGAATATTGCACAACAAGTTAAAACTCGTGTCTACTTTCAGCTGGAAAGGGAAGGATTGATGGTGAGAGGAAGAAATATTAGCAGTGGGGGTCAAGCAGGATCATGGCAGGAGGCTCCACCAGGATCCATGAGAACCTGCGAGACGAGAAAGCACAAGAACTCCGGGGAAGAAGTAAAGTTAGTAACATGCATTAATGGGTCATGAATGAGTGCAGAAAGAGAGAGAGAGGAAGAGAGGAGCTCAGTGCATCATGGGATATCCCCCGATAGTCTAGGCCTTGACATGAACCTGCTCACAGTTCGTAAAAAAAAACAAGGGAGACCACACAAATAATTAAAGTGTTTAAAGCAAAATAAATGTAATTAATCAATATTCACACTAAACAAAGTGATTCACTAACAATGACCACGCCATCACATGTATGAAATAAGAAACGTTTATTGCACATAATGAACAAATGTGAACCAATGTGGTATACTGAGGGATGAGGGGTGATTCGAGGGATGAAGGTAGGTTCGAGGGATGAGGGATGAAGGTAGGTTCGAGGGATGAAGGTAGGTTCGAGGGATGAAGGTAGGTTCGAGGGATGGTTTGAGGGATGAGGGATGAAGGTAGGTTCGAGGGATGAGGGATGAAGGTAGGTTCGAGGGATGAGGGATGAAGGTAGGTTCGAGGGATGAGGGATGAAGGTAGGTTCGAGGGATGAGGGTAGAGGGATGAGGGATGAAGGTAGGTTCGAGGGATGAAGGTAGGGGGATGAGGGATGGAGGTAGGTTTGAGGGATGAGGGATGGATGAGGTCGGAGGAATGAGGGATGGATGAGGTCGGAGGAATGAGGGATGGATGAGGTCAGAGGAATGAGGGATGGATGAGGTCAGAGGAATGAGGGATGGATGAGGTCAGAGGAATGAGGGATGGATGAGGTCAGAGGAATGAGGGATGGATGAGGTCGGAGGAATGAGGGATGGATGAGGTCGGAGGAATGAGGGATGGATGAGGTCGGAGGAATGAGGGATGGATGAGGTCGGAGGAATGAGGGATGGATGAGGTCGGAGGAATGAGGGATGGATGAGGTCGGAGGAATGAAGGTAGGAGGAATGAAGGTCGGTTGGCGGATCGATGGATGGCGCGATGTAAGAGGGAACTGAGTGGGTTGCGAGACACTGAGTGGGGGAACTGTCTCTTCGTATCTCTTGTAGAGAGCCCCAGTGGTTCCTGTATTTGGATAAGAGGGAGACAAAAAGAAAGGGTTTGGGTGGGAGGGATGTGGGAAATGAGTCAAGGAGGGAGTGAACGGATAAGGTATGCTTAAGTAAGTTTTGAGCGGAAATTAGATGATTGCAGGGCGTGGTCTTTGTTCCCGAACCTAGTTATAAAACATCATTTCACTAACAATGACCACGCCATCACATGTATGAAATAAGAAACGTTTATTGCACATAATGAACAAATGTGAACCAATGTGGTATACTGAGGGATGAGGGGTGATTCGAGGGATGAAGGTAGGTTCGAGGGATGAGGGATGAAGGTAGGTTCGAGGGATGAAGGTAGGTTCGAGGGATGGTTAGAGGGATGAGGGATGAAGGTAGGTTTGAGGGATGAGGGATGAAGGTAGGTTCGAGGGATGAGGGATGAAGGTAGGTTCGAGGGATGAGGGATGAAGGTAGGTTCGAGGGATGAAGGTAGGTTCGAGGGATGAAGGTAGAGGGATGAGGGATGAAGGTAGGTTCGAGGGATGAAGGTAGGGGGATGAGGGATGGAGGTAGGTTCGAGGGATGAGGGATGGATGAGGTCGGAGGAATGAGGGATGGATGAGGTCAGAGGAATGAGGGATGGATGAGGTCGGAGGAATGAGGGATGGATGAGGTCGGAGGAATGAGGGATGGATGAGGTCGGAGGAATGAGGGATGGATGAGGTCGGAGGAATGAAGGTAGGAGGAATGAAGGTCGGTTGGCGGATCGATGGATGGCGCGATGTAAGAGGGAACTGAGTGGGTTGCGAGACACTGAGTGGGGAACTGTCTCTTCGTATCTCTTGTAGAGAGCCCCCAAAAAGACTTCGAATCGATTCGTAAGCGTGTTTCATGTCGTTTTTAGGTTATAACAGATGTACGTGAGATATGCTCAAGAAGACCATCTGCCAAGGGATTTATTGCCGATATCTGGGATTCCCTGCCTGGGAGCAGTGGATGTGGCTCGGATGCAAGGGAACGCCCGAGTATGGCTCTGCGGAAATTCTGGTTTGGACAGGATGGCAGATGTGTCGAAACTGATCACGTGGGTATGAGGAGTTAATCGATGGAAGCGAACGGGATGAAGCTATCGAGTGAAAGAAAATGGCGACCGAATTATCCATCTGAGGGGAGTCAGTAGAGGATGGAGGCTGAAGATGGTGGGACTGTAGTTGAAACGGCGTCGGAGGCTAGTGCCGATTGTCTGAATTTACGTAACGAGAAGCGAGAGTGTGACGGCGATTGCGTTGTGAGAACTGGGATGCGAGAAGCTCGAGTGATGAATTGATGCTGTGCTGAAGCTAGGGTAAGCTTCCATATGAGCTGTGTTATGTTAAGACGGCGGGACTGGTCCCTTGTTTATGATGTCAAATGGTGGTGGTCATGATTTTATTGGACCATTAGTGACCCCAAAGAATGATTGCTTGCGATCGGGCAACGAACGAATATCGTGGAAAGAGGGGAACAGGAAGGTGAATTGTACGCGATGCTTTAGAGTGGGTAAATAGTGGCTGTTTGCATTCAATTGGACTGAATGCAGTTTAAGTGTTCTGGATATGAGGGTTGCTTGTGGACGGATGTATTGAATGGCGAGGTCAACGCGTATACGTCTGAAAACAAATGTTTCAATGATGGCTCTGAAATAAAAATGAGGTGAACCGGTATATTGAATGAACAGGAAAGATATATTGCGTATACATTTTAAGAATTTGCCATGAAAGATTTATCCTTAAATAAGTATCAACAGGGAAGAAGAGCGGACCCTGAAACGAAGGGAGGACGGGGTCCCAGTGGGCCAAAACGAGAGATGCAAGTTCAGACGGATGTATTGAAGGATGAGGTCGACGCGTTTACGTCTGTAAACTAATGTTACAATGATGGCTTTGAAATAAAACCAGTAACTGTTGCAGGGCTTCCTGCTTGCCTGAACTAAGAGGTGAACCGGTATATTGAATGAACGTGGAAAGATGTATTGCGTATACGTTTTAAGAATTTGCCATGAAAGATTATTTATCCTTAAATAAGTATCAACAGGGAAGAAGAGGAGACCCTGGAACTAAGGGATGACCAGGTCCCGGTGGGCCAAAACGAGAGATGGTAAGATTCAGACGGATGTATTGAATGATGAGGTCGATGCGTTTACGTATGTAAACTAATGTTACGATGATGGCTCTGAAGTAAAACCAATAACTGTTGCAGGGCTCCTGCTTGCCTTAATTAAGAGGCAAACCAGTGCATTGAACGAAAGTGGGAAGATATATTGCATATATGTTTTAAGAATTTGCCACGAAAGATTATTTATCGTTGAATAAGTATCAACTGGGAAGGAGAGGAGACCCTGGAACTAAGGGATGACCAGGTCCAGATGGGCCAGAACGAAAGATTGTAAGTTTCAGACGGATGTATTGAATGATGAGGTCGATGCGTTTACGTATGTAAACTAATGTTACGATGATGGCTCTGAAGTAAAACCAATAACTGTTGCAGGGCTCCTGCTTGCCTGAATTAAGAGGCAAACCAGTACATTGAACGAAAGTGGGAAGATATATTGCATATATGTTTTAAGAATTTGCCACGAAAAGATTATTTATCGTTGAATAAGTATCAACTGGGAAGGAGAGGGAGACCCTGGAACTAAGGGATGACCAGGTCCGGATGGGCCAGAACGAAAGATTGTAAGTTTCAGACGGATGTATTGAATGATGAGGTCGATGCGTTTACGTATGTAAACTAATGTTACGATGATGGCTCTGAAGTAAAACCAATAACTGTTGCATGGCTCCTGCTTGCCTGAATTAAGAGGCAAACCAGTACATTGAACGAAAGTGGGAAGATATATTGCGTATACGATTTAAGAATTTGCCATGAAAGATTATTTATCATTAAATAAGTATCAACTGGGAAGGAGAGGAGACCCTGGAACTAAGGGATGACCAGGTCCGGATGGGCCAAAACGAAAGATGGTAAGTTTCAGATGGATGTATTAAATGGCGAGGTCGATGCGTATGAGTCTGTAAACTATTGTTACGATGATGACTGAAATATAACTATTAGCCATTGCAAGGCTTCCTGCTTGCCTGGACGAAGAAGTGAATCGGTATTTTGAACGAACATAAAAAGAAATATGTTGCGTATACCATTTTAAGAATTTGCCATGAAAGATTATTTATCTTTAAATATTAACGGGGAAGGCGAGGAGACCCTGGAAAGAAGGGACGACCGGGTTCCGATGGGCCGAAACGAGAGATGGTGAGTTCGGATGGATGTATTGAATGGCAATGTCAAGCGTATGAGTCTAAACTAATGTTGCGCTAATAACTCTAAAATGAAACTACTAACTGTTGCGGCAATAAGAGGCGAACCAGTATGTGAACGAACATAAAAAGACATATTACGTCTAGGTTTTAAGAGTTAGTCATGAAAGATTCATTTATAGTTAAAAAGTTAAGCGTGCGGAATTGAATTGCGATGTCCACGTAATGAGAGACGGAAATCTGTCGTCTGAGAGCGGTGACGCAGGGATGATAGGAAGGAATTGGCCGTGCTGGAGGTAATGCGGAGGCTGGATCGAAATTATTATGCATGGACGATGGGTGGGAAAGCCCACGATTGAGCTACATTGGACCTGTGGGGAAAAAGGGGGGTGTGCTAAGGAAGAGAAACATACGTATGAATAAACATAAGTAGAATAAGGGTTTTGTGGCTGGGAGCGTGCCCAGAAATACATGGATTGTATTTGTGGGCACGCTCTGTGCGCCTGAGAAGGTTGGTTGGGAGGAGCAGAGGCAGCCGAAGAAGACGGAACAGGGAAGTTAGAAATGAGAGGAGGGAAAAGATGCTGGGATG